ATTCTCGGAATTTTGAAATCAATTTTGGTAGGTACATCCAGTTAGTACTAATGTGTCCGTATGCCAAATTTCATCATGATAGGTCAATTCTGAAGAAAGTTATAGCCATAAGTAAAATCGCTGCTCATGCGCTGCCTCTGTCGGCAGCGCTGCCCGCAGCTGTTGTTGTTGTTGCTGCTTTGGTTCAACTTTGTGCTGCATACATACACGCATATAAACACGCATAGGTACGTGATGTAAATGTATGCTGTTAAAACTGAACATAAACATGTATTCTCATTTAATTTAATTAATTAATTAATTCATTCATTTTTTTTTAATAATTTAATTTTTTTTTTAATTTTTTTTTTTAATTTTTTTATTTTTTAATTTTTCTTTTTTGTGGAGAGTACAGGCTATTTTACTGTCGGGCTTGCTCGACTGTAGCGTTCTATCTTGTTATTTTATAGAAAAGTTTGAAGGGTATACGCACATCTTCCGCACAATCGAAGACAACATTTTATGTTATTTGGTTATTCATTGTTTGTTTTCGGTCTTGTTGTTGGCCCGCTGCGAAGATTTCTGCACCACTGTGGGCGTTTTATTTTTAACGCATTGCGATTATATAACTACACACACACACACACACACACATACACGTATATAGGGACGTGATTACTTTTCGTCAAATTGGATTGTGTAAGTGTAAGGAGAGTATTTGGCTTTATTGTTTGCGGTTGACACTCGATTTTTCGCAAAAGTGCCTGTGCGGTTAACCCAAATTGCAGATTGGAAAGTGATTTTAGCGATCATGATCATGATTATGATCATGATTATGAGCCTGATGTTGATGTTGATTGTCAGTGGACAGCAAGAAGACGGTGAGGTAAGGTCAGGGCTGTGCGTTGGTCCATTCGACGGGGCTGGACTGGCTTATACTTGTAATTTGGTTCGCTGCCCTGCTCTGCAGTCTCTTGTTGATATTTGCCTTTAAGCGTGTGCATGGATGAGGTCATGCGCAAAAAATCTCAATAGTCGTACGATTGATGCCAAAAAGGCGTTCAAGCGGCCTGCTCTGGCATTAAAACATTGAGCAAAATAAAGAGAGCAATAAAAATGCAAATAATTACACAGTACGGTGAAGAAAACAAACTCATTAAATGGGGCCGTCCCTCGCTCTGTGGTTGAATTTTTGGCAAACTGCACAGAGCACTCCCCCATGCAAATATCCATATCCATATATCTGCCCGTATTTACCGTACATACCCATGTAGTATGTGTGTGTGTGTGTGTGTGTGTGTGTGTGCATATCTTAATTATTGTCTTGTTCGGCAGTATAGTTTTTGTTATTTATTTTGCGCATGACTTTGTTTATGCGGCGTGAGCGCGCAAAGAATGACATACGAACCCTGAAATCCGTTGCAAACAAAAACGCAAAAGAAAATGCAAAATTTTATTTGCGCACATCAGCAATGTCGCCCCAAGCGAGATGGAAGCAATCTACCATGACAGTTCATGAAGGTTAAATTCTTCAGAAATGATTTGGCTGCCACTGCAGTCGCTGCTGCCTCTGCTGCTTTTTCTTCTTGTTTTCTTGTTTTTTCTTTTTCGTTTTTTTTTTTTAATTTGTTCTTTTTTATTGCCACTGCACTCTCAATGCGCTGAATGAATGCTCTCGTATTCTACTTTTGCACTAATTAAAATATACGCAAAGCTGTTTGAAATTTTTAGAGCATGTTACTTATTTTTCCTCTTTATTTTTTGCAGCGCTCGCTCGGGAGGCAAGCCATGAAATATTGTCACGCACACAACAAGACATCGAAGCAGAGACACTGAGGCACTAAGGCACACACACACACACAAAATGCAATTGCGTGTCTGTCAGGCGATGATAGGGGCGGGAGGTGGGGGGCGGACTGCTCGTCGTTTGTATAAATACATATTCTAATGAGCGCCGCCTGCGATTGCAAGGCGCTGCTTCCGCGCTCATTAGGCGCACAGATCGAGCACCCCCTCGTCTGGCCAACAGTTGCAGTCACAATACACTGAGAAAAAACAGGCTGTCTATAACAAGTTTTAAGTGTCTTGGCAACAATCCGATTAGCACGATCATCTTATTTTACTTGAATACTCACACGGATTGTCTGCGAGTTGAAAAAGTTAGGGAATAGAAAGATGCCTTCAACAAGCTAGATTAAAGTCTTTATGAATTGCCAACTTATTATCTAAAACTAATCCAAAATTACTTTCAATTGCCATTTTTTATAGACTTATTTAAAGAGAAATTAGCTCATAGATGTGGATTATTAATAATATCGGTAATATCGGTAGATTTTACTGCAATTTTCGCAAGGGAATACAATTTTTGATTTATTTGACACGAAGGCCACGCTGCTTATCAAGTAAAGTCATCCGTTTCTGGTCGAAAATGCCAAGCGAAATGATAAAAATTGGGATGAAAAAGGAATCTGCTAGGAATATATGTTTTACCCTCAAATTTGTCGAATTGCAAAAGATATTTTGCAATTCAAAAAAAGCTAAGATTTCTATAGAACAAGCAAGTTAATTCCTTCAAGAAACCTCCTTAGTTTACAATTAATGGCTTAATTGCCAATTGGGATGCAAACTATTGGCCTGCCTGGCCACTCAAATGTCACTTAATTATATAGAAATGGACGACAATGCCCAATTTTAATACCAGCATGAATTCGCGATACTTTTTCCAATGTAGCCACAATAGTTGCTGTCCGAAAATCCCCTGCTGCTGGCCATCTCGCCACTTTCTGTGCTGTGTGTATCTTTAAAGCGGAACACGGTGCTGGCGGAAAATTGTACTCGTAGTATTGGCCGTGCACATTTCCGTTGGGGCTTTATTTATGACTTTATTTTCAGACATTTACTCTTGATTATTTTGCAAATGAGCTCTAAATGTTGCCTACTATAGTTTGCAAGCAACGGGCTGTCACTCACGGCTGACGTCATTTCTGTTTATCTAATTAATTACGAATATTGTACAGCAAAGCTGTGGGGAGCACGTAGTGTAAGCTGATAGCAAGAACGTTACAAATATCGCATACAAAACAAAGCAACTCATTCACAATCGGAGCACTTCTGCCCGACCTTCGCCTTAAACAAGGCATTTGTTTATTGAGCCGATGAGTTGTTAAATGAAGGAAGTGCTTATCAGCACTGAAGTGCATTGCATTCCCACTACCATACGAGTATTCATCTAGTATATTTATAAATGATACTGCTATATAGGTATTCCAATTCTTTTTTAACCGATTTTTGTTTTCTACAATCTTCAAATTTGCTTTTCGTTGAATCATAGCGTCATTTTTGCGCTCGATGACCCAATGGCCAGTAATAAACAAAGTTTAATCAATATATTCACTCCCCGAATTCGTTGGGCACTATCAAACAACAAGTAGTTATCAGCCACAAAAGCCCACTCAACGATTTGACGGACAGCTGTAATCAACACTATGACGTATGCCCAAGCCCGCCTTGATAACAACTTATAAACACCGATGATTAATGGCATCGTTTGTGTTTATAAGTTGATATATGTACATATATAAAAATAATAAATGCTATAGGGGCATTAAAGGTAAGTATGTCTATGGGTATATCTTTGTCCCAAATGTAACTACAAGTTCATTCAACTATGAATTCATGGGAAAGTAGTTAGGGGCATAAGAACACAATGTATAAATAGCGCTCTGGGAAACACATTAGTTCTTGCAGCTATCTAGCGACCATCTACAATAAATACAAGTAGATGTAGAATAATAGTTGTACTATTCTTAGATGTCGTTCAATGACGTCAACACCAACTCGTACCTTTTGCCAAACTAAAAATTATTATTTCCCATCTTACTGCCTTAAAAGAAAATGGCTGCAGTCTCCGCAAACTCCCATTTCTTCTCCTCTCTCCACTCTGCTTTTAGTTTCTGAGGCAAAGTGGTTTTTTTGGCTTTCACCACTATGTCCAATTTAGAGATTGGATGCCCTTAGAACGCGCACAGAGTAATGAAAAATCGTCAGATATATAGTATTGACGTAAAAGAGACCACAAATTTGTATATAAGTTGGAATATGTGGAGGCGTTCTATCGGGCGGTACAGTTACGTCAGAAGGCTGGTGGTGGTCTGGTCCACGGCATGGTAATGGAAAACGCGTGCGCAAATAAAACTAGCGTATTGTTCAATATCAATACCGCCTGCTTGACCACAGTGCGTATACGCAATACGGCCCTAGGAAGCATGGGATGGGAGCAGAAGATGCAAATGGGCTGGCGCGCTAACTAACTAACTGACTGACTGACTGACTGACTAGCGAACACAAATGTGGCCGAAAATAGATCAAGCAGAAAAGAAAAGCGCAATTTCTGCGAATGAAACAAACACAGCCGACAACAAATGGAAAAGGCGCAGGGCGAAAACGAAATCGAAATCAAAAAAGAAAAAAGTACAGAACATTCAAGTGAACAAAATATTTTCGGACAGATCGCCCAAGCAGCGCCTTCATTAATACGTTCGCTTATTTTTCTTAAATAATCTTCACTCGTACGAGTACGAGTATAAGAATGTATTTTGATGTTGCAAAAGACTTAAGAAATTATGGCGCTTGTTTGGACAGAAATAAAAACAATAACAATATCAAGAAACAAAAACAAAAACAAAAACAATGCGAAAAGCGCCACAGCAACTAAAGATAAACAAAGTGGCTCGGTTCGGATGCGGGCTGCCGGCGACAAACACTTTCGCAACTTGTCAGGCATTAAACGTGCTAGAGGCGGCCCCTTCCGCGTCGCTGAGGCCCACAATTGCGCGATATGTATCTGCATATGTATCTGCCAGATATTGTATCTGGCCCGTCTACCAGTTTAGCGAAGTGCAGAGCGCAAAAATCGAACACACACATAACAAACGCACATATGTATGTACGAGTATACACACAGAAAGAAAATTCGGAAACAAATCCGCGCAGCCATTTCGAATTTCTAAAAATACACTCACCTTGAAAAAGTTTCTAAAATGTTCTTCAATATATTTGACTTGATTTTTCGTTTGCTCGACTCTTGATGACGAGCGTTTCGAGGCACCAGGCGATCTCTGTCTCTATCTCTATCTGTATCTGTATCTGTAGTTATAGCTGCTTGTCTCGCCGAGCGGTGGCAAAAGCTGATCGATGTGTACGAATTTTCTAGTTGCTGGGTCCAGACAATTATTGTTGTTGTTGCGTGCCAAAAAAAATATCTGTAATATTAGCCTGGCACCGTCCTTTTTTTTTTAGTTATTTAGTTGCTTCTTTTGTTTGCACACGATCTCGTTTCGTAAGCGGTTTTACCCTTCAAGCGGTACACACAAATTTTCACAAATTATAAACACACAAGCACTAGATTCGGGCTAAAAGAGAAGAAGGAGAAGAGATAGAGGGGAAGAGAGGGAGAGAGAGAGAGAGAGATTGAAAATTTCAATTAACTTGATTTATTATCATATGCTATTGCTTTTTTTTTTTGGTATTATTTGTACATATATTAAAAATTAATTGAAAACACAAATATTATTGTATAACAAGTTTGTGGCTCGTTGTCAGTTATCAGTTGCCCTTATTTGCTTTCTTTATTGCACACAATTAATTGACTTTTTATATGCACTTTGGCAAATACAACATGTGTATGTAGTATTAGTATTAGTGTGTGCGTGTGTGCGTGTGTGCGTGTGTGTATGTGTGATTTATGCTGCACATCTACATGCCAGTTGCATCTGTAGTATGTGCTCGTATGTCTGTATTTAAATATATATATATATATTTATACACACATTTGCTGCTGATTTCGTTAATTTATAGGTTTTGTTTCCTGTCCGATGTGCGTTTGCTAGTTCTTGGGCGACGTTAACTAAGCGACGATATTCTCTCAACTAAAGCAGAACCGAAACCAAAAAGTTCTATGGGAAAAGTTTCGAACAAAATCTTTTCAACCACATCGCGCGTCGCTGCCGACGTTCGGCGTTGACGTCGACGGTGACGTCGACGCCGAGGCTGCCGCTGGCGTTGGCGCGAGAGTCGCCTTCTTATTCGATGATATGGCGGCTATATAATCGTCAGTGGCTGTTTGGCGGTGTATTTTTGTATGGGCTAGCTACAGAACTGCAGAAACAGCTTTTGCCGCTCGTTGCCAATGTCTATCTGTCTGTCTACCCCCATCCCAACACCCAACCCCCCCCCCCCCCCACCACCTCTACCCTCACCCACCCGAAAACAACTGCCTCAGTCTCTGCCCCATGCTTGAATGTCTTTGTTGAAAATATATTTTGTTATTTTGCTAATTGTTTGTTTGTATTTTGTTTTCTGGCTCTGCACTGCCACTACTTGCCGTGGCTTTCTGGTATTTAGGCATCCGCATGCACCTACATACAAGTATATATGTATGTACATATGTATGTACGTATGTATATATGTATGTGTCTACATTAATGTGCATTAGCACTGGGCCTATTGTGTGTTTGTTTGAGGCTCATCGTTGCAGGTAATTCTGTGGCCATTTCCCGTATTCTGTTTTGTTTCAATGCAGTACAAGTATATAGAAGTATAACTGCATGTTAATCAGAAAGCCAGACTCTTCAGACAGAGAAGAATTTATGGAAAACAGACCCAATATTTTGATCAAAACACACTTGTGCTTCGTTCAATGAACTCTTATAGTTTGTACATAATTTTTCATTTCATTTTAATTGGAATGTTTTGCAAAAAACTGCTCCACTCAAAGGACTCAAAAGGATGCTCACAAAGAAAGCAACTCTGCCACCGATATGACACGTGTTGAGTGGGTCAAGCTGCGACTAGAATGCTATGATGATATGATTAGCCTATTGGGCAACCTGCAAGCAGAAGTTGTAACCACCCAGCCGAATAGACTTTTAATTACTTGGCGAAAAGGGGATGCGCTATATTTCATAATAAAATATACAAAGCAAAGTGTATTTTGGCGAATTTACTAAAGCATTGCAGGAGAGATAGCCCTGCTTGTTAGTTATATATTATTATTAAGTATATTAAAACAGGGCAGTAGTCATCTGGAAATCTTTCTTCTATTTTTTGTGCCTTGTAATAGCTGGGAAAGGCATATAATACTTAGTGAGAAATAAATGTAAGAAATAAAAGGATTTTCATCCTTTTTCCAGGGCTGTAATCATTATAGGATTTATTAAAAAAATTCCAAAATAATGATTATTTTTTAATTTTTATTCATTCACTACAAATTTAATAATGATTTTTGAGTGGTACTTTAAAAATTAGTCAATAAAATAGAACTTCTAAAATAATTATTATGCCTTGAGTTTTAATTTTTTGAACAAAAATAAAACTCAACCAGTTATTTTAACTGTGTCTTAAGGATTAAGAACAAATTTTATATATAACCTCAAGCACTAAGTCAAGGCGAACCTTTTTTATTAATTAATTTCTAATTATGAACTCATGAACTTGACATTCGTTTTAGGCATTTATAACCACATTTCTAACTTTTTGTTTACCTTTATAGAAGGCCCCTCCCTCTGGGTGTTGAAGTTTTCTTCAATTTATGCAATAAAAGATGTACATAAACATATGTAACCACCTGTACATGGGAACTCGCTACTCTGGCATTATAAATCTGTGGGACTACTTGTATAATTCTCAATACCAGAAATAATTTCCGACATTAAGAATGAAGCAATGCTCGGGGCTTTTGACAAATGTTATTAAAATGTTGCAATTGCAAAGTGGTTCTGTAAGGCAATAGTGTCTATTGGGCAACAACAATAGATAAGTGTTGTCCCAACAACAATAAAAACAACAGCCCTGACAGATGAAGAGGCAGCGGCAAGGTCACATCAAAGTATTTGAAGTATTGCGAGTGTTTTAAAAATTTGATTCATAAACAGTAAACTAGAGACTTGGCCCAGAAATGAGGCGTCTGTTGTTTAGTTAAAAAACAAAGTACATTGTTTTTATACACATACTTGTATGTATGTGCACACGAAGGGATAATTAATTAACTGAATAGTCGATAAGACGGATTGAACAAGAAAATAAAATAACATTTAAATATCTGTGTGTGTTCAAATAAATTGCACATACGAGTAAGCCTGCACATGTACGAACATTTTTCATGCCAATTCCCGCGAGCACAAAAAGTTAAGCGCATTACACATAACAGAGCAGAACAACAATAACACAAGAGCAATTTTATAAACTCAGCACTCAATATAAATGCCAAAAACAAAGTTCAGTTCTTAATTAAATCATGTTCATTGGAAAAACGAAAAACGCGGCACGAAATTTAATCAAATAACAAAATATTGTTCACCAAGCACAGCGAAAAATATTGTATCTATCAAAGTCAATCAAATGAAAAAATGCCAACCAAGAAGAACAATCGCGATACGATACCTAATTTTTGCCGAATAATACATATACATAGTGTGTATGTATATACTTGTATATACATATGTGTGTAGGTATTGCAATGTTCTTGTAAGAACCATGGGTTCTTTTTGCTTGCGTTTCCCAAAACTTTTTAGGAGCGCTCCATTTTGGCTTTGTCAGCAAAATTAAAAGCGAAGAATCCAAAAAAGTAAAAGAAATGACGAAAAACGAAAGACAACGGAGAAGGGGAAAACGGGACCCTCAACACTGACGACTGACGACAGCAATTAAAATCTTAAATGTTGCAGATAAGCAGATAATTAAGGCAACACCGTGGCCGTCTTTTATGCGATTTTCAGTTCCAGTTAACTGCGTCAAAGATGACAAACGGTTCGGTTCGGTTCGGTTATGGTTATGGTTAGGGTTATGCAATTTTGTGGCTCTTAATTGTTTTAATTTGGTGGAATGCCTGCAGGTCTGCGAGCACTTTTGCTTTTAAATGCCAACGCATATGCAAATTCCGCGTAAGTAAGTATCTTGTTGTTACGTCAAGTTTTATTCAATTTATTAAGAAGAAATAAACACACACACACACATACAGATGTATACATTTTTTGGAAGCTGCGCGCTGACTCAACTGACTGGCCAACGGCCAGCACTCAATTGTCCGAGTATGTCTGACCACGGCCCTTATGAATCATTGAATCGTAGTCCCGCGCGCGCTCAACCTCCCATTTAATAAAACCGGCTTTTTCGCCACAATTATAACGCCCCAACAAAACTGGGCCTAAATGCAAGCAACTACACTACACAGTCAACACTCACAATGGAAAATGCGTTGTTTTAATTTGCACCCAATCGGCTGGGAAGTTGGACTCGCGCTACGAGTATGGTACTGAAAAATACGTATTATTGTTCTCTCGATATGCTGGCCTGGTACTGCGACTGCGACTGCGAGTGAGACTGAGAAGCGAGACAACCGCGCGCGATCGCTGCGTTCGAACGAATGAAGGCGAAAATTGAAGATCGGCGTTGAAGTTGGTGCCAAGTGCCAAGCCAGTCAGAGCCCAGACACACACTCACACACACACACACACGAGTACACCCTAACGTACCCATGTACGTGTGTGTATGTATGTATGTATGTGTGCATTGCTATAAGTGTGGATATTTATGTTTGTATCGGCATGCCACTTGCACGCGCTCTCACACGCTCCGTGCAACAAATCAACAGGTAACCGAAAGGTGTACGCTCATGTCTCTGTGTATTCATATGTACGAATACGTGTATGTATGTGTGTGTGTGTGTGTGTGTTTGTGAGTCAGACGCATCTTTGGCTGTGTTTGTGTGCGTTTGGCGGCTGATAAGATAAAAACGAAAACACAAACAAACCAGCTACAGCGGCAACAACAACAAGAAGTGTCTGTGTGTGTCTGTTCTATGAAGTAATTTTTTGCGCATTTTTATTATTGTTGCTCGCCAGTCATTTTGGGGCCATGTTCGTCGAAAATTGCTCACGCTTTCTCCCTAAAGTGTTGCCATTATTATTCTAATTTTCTGCTCCCAATCACATGCAAACAAAACAAAAAATTTGTTCGTTTTCTGACGCCGTGACAATAACAAAAAAAAAAAAACAAAAAAAAAAAACAAATAAGCACAACAAAAAAATAATAATGAAGAAAAAGCAGAAATAAAAAGTAAAAAGTGCAACAACACAGATGTATTCTATATTTAGGTTGCATGCCACACCAAACTGGTTCCTCCAGTTTCCTGATAATCTGGGTGACGGCTACAACCAAAACAGCAACAACAACAGCAATCACAGCAAGTTTGATTCTTGCCGGACTGAGTTTTGCAAAATTTTTGAAGCTGGCTGATTTTCCTTCTTTTTTTTTTAAGCCCAAAAACAAATCGGCCCAATAGCAGTTGGCCACAAAACCGGTTGCTAGCCCTTTTCGCAACACAGACACCACAACACATGCCCGTGCAATGACCAATGAGTCGAAGTACGAGTAACTAGCAGCGCCTTGATTCTCCAACCAACGAAATACATTTAATAACTGTATCCAACTCACCTGCATTTGTGTTTTCTAACTACACACTGATTTCTCAATATTTATTCTATATACATATGTATACATATGTATATCTGTTTAGACATATATGCATTTTATATACTGCTGGAATATCCATATTAGAGACAAACTGAAACTAAAACTCGTTTTATTAAAAATGTTAAACAAAAACTCATTCTCTAATTTAAACATCGTTATGTTTTCAATTATTCGAATTATTCGGAATAGTATTAACGGTTTGTTTGTTTCTTGTTGGTTTTTATAAATAAATAGTTTTTAAAATTCGAAAAAGTATCTGTGAACTGCTGTAGATAATAGCTATAATTATTTTTCGGAAGGTTTCAGAAATTGTGGATGAAATACGTTTAATTATTAACTTTTTCAACAATAAAAACATACTGCAAGTCTACTTATATTTATTTATTATAGTCATTTGTATTTCCCGCATTATCAATTTTTTGGGTAAACAAAGTAAACTTTTCACAGTTGCTCTCTTATCAGTCGTTCTTCGTTATGCTAGTCACAGTAAGCTCGCTACGTCCCACCTTTTTGTCTCAGTGGGGAGGTTTCCCACGCCATTACATAATTGCCACAAAAAATTGCAAATGTCCTTCAGAACTATATACTAGAGATCATTTGCAGACTAAGAAAAATATCGTTAAGAGCGAGTTTGCATTATTAAATATTCAAATGTATATATTCGCCCTCTAGTTGTCAATTCAGCCAAGGTTTTGTATCACCCAAAAGTATGCTACATAATTTCATCACCTGTCTACCATACCATAGACAATCACCAATAACAATATGGTGAAATTTGGCTATCAGTTGAGTACCACATACAAGAACCATTTATGGTATGTGTTAATTCACCAAATGGCGTGAAAGAAATTCACCATGCAACGTTCGTTTTATCTCAGCTTTCAACTATAACCGATAGATGTCGCAGTTATGTGTTTTGGAGTGGCAGCCCTGGTTGCCCGGTTAGATGTTAGTGGCAGTTTTAGATAACGGCTGGACGTGTATTTCATCCGAAGCCAACCGAAAAATATCAGAGTGCAGCCAACTCATGTTGAGAGTAAACATTGCATGCAAGCAAGCGAGCGCATCACTCGATATAATTGATAAATTCATATGTTCTACCAAATAAAAGTGTATCTTGTGTTAACGAACCAATAAATAGCAAGCCCAAACGTCCACAGTGTCCTGGCGCACCTATCGGCCATCGCTGGAACTTCGACGATGCCAGCCATACGAAGTATAGAGTATTTATGATTTGTTTGGCTGGCTTGACTGGCAACTGCATCTTAGTTAATTATCGTAATATTGCACCTTATTCTGTTTTTACACGGTAGATTCGTTCCAGAAACAGCCGTGTAAAAAAATACATTGATCATATGCAAAAATAGATGATTGATTCCTTATCTCTAAAGAAATATATATGCAATTTTTTAATTTTCAAACCGTGTTATATCAAAACCGAGTTATATCAAGACCGTGTAAAAACAGAATTGGGTGTATATGTATTTATAAAAGCTAGTTATACAGTGACTAGTATCATAATATATATAATATTATTTTCCATTATGATTAAAAAAAAGTGTATTTAATAGATTACTTTTAACTAATATTAAATTGTTTCATTAGGCACTTTTAGGTTAGCTTTTGTAACTGTAACTTATATACCCTTTTTAATAGCATATACGAGCAAATAAAAATTAACTGCCCACAAAGTATTCATCCAACGACTTTTATTTACATTATCATTATATCGGATGAGTTATGTACATTAAAGAAATCTGCGTCCCTATAGTTCACCTGTAATTCGAAATGATTCCTAGTTTTTGGGCTAGAAAAAAGGCAAATTTGTCCAAAAAGAAGCTTGCAATATAGTATTTAATGCGCGCCTTATTGAACGGCGTTTGTTGTTCCGCCGCTTTTATGTACATATATATAAAACAAGTCAGTGATCGGGTCACGTACACGCTTCAGGCGTCAGTGGCATGAACATTTTACCGTTGTCGCAACCAAATCTCTCGTACGGCCGTTCCACCACAACTTTATCGATTTCCAGCAGAATCGCGGTGATTTCGTTGATCTTGTACGACATTTTCATGCATTAAATTAATTGCTTTTGGCAAAGAAAACATTACAAATTTAGCTCACGATCGCAACGAGCAGCCATGCCCAGCCCACAAATGGAAATGACCAAAGAAAATGCCAAAAACTACAGAGTTAGCCACTTTGCCGGTGTGAATTGAGTGATTAGGCGCCGGCATTGCCAGCGGCTTCGGCACAGTGGTCAGTGGTCAGCGGTCAGTGTCAATTGATATTTGGACGACGACTTGGCAGTGGGCGTTGGGCGGTAACAGCCGTATGTTTATTCATAGATTAGCGAAAAACAAATGCCATTTGTGGCCAACATTTGACGGCTGTTTTGCGCGTGAAAACTATAAGGAAACTTGCTGATAGTCGTACATACAGGGTGCGCCATCTTTTATGTCGGTATGTAAACATTGAATATCTTTGAAAATAAACAACCGATTTTCAAGTATGAGATATTTTTATTTAATTTGGTTCTGTACAATTTCTTGAACTGAGGTTTTCAACACTGGTCTACTCAAGTCAATCGGTTCACTAATGAAAAAGGTATTCAATATTTAAATACCGACATAAAAGATGGCGCACCCTGTACATACATACATACATACGAGTATGTACATGTTATAGATACCTTATGTACGGTACGGTTATACCGTATGTATGCATGTATGTTGCTATGTTTATGTCAAATATTTAGCTCTCTTGACTTATTTTAGTCTGCTTTTATTGCAATTCGATTGATTTAAAATTAGTTTTTGTCGTATTTGTCAAAGCTAATTGAAAATGCATTTTGACGCATTTGGCCGCCTGAACTTTAATTAATTTGACAAGTTAATTTATTTGGCGACGCAACGTGACCGGCATTTTAATCCAGCACCTGACAACACCAACAACCTGCAACAACAAGGACAGCCCTATGCGTTGCTAAGAGCAACAGAACACACAGAACAAACAAAAAAGCCCAAACAAGAGGAAAAGTTTTTCCTCAACCAACTCCAACCTAACGACCAAATCCAACCTAACGTGACCCACACGCATCGAGCTCAATGTACGAGGCAGGCACTGAGCAGATATACTGCAACGGCACAGTGATAAAGCTGCCCACACTGGCGGTTGTTAAAGCAGGTGCATTGTGGAATAGAGAATAATCCCTCAATGGGCCAAATGAAACTTTTCGTTCCTCTTCTCCACAAGTAGCACCCGAAATGCCGGCCGATGCCAACATTGATTGGCTCCTCCACATCTATTTTACGCGTCGCGACTTCGCCCGCTGCCGCCGCATCATCGAGCGCGAATTGAACCGCCATTTGAATCCGGAGTACCTGTACTTCGTTCAGGTGAGTGGTGCTGGCATCGACGCACCAACTCATTTAGTCGCCGCAAATAATTTCCAAGTGATTGGCTATTTCTTTTATTTGGTTTTTGTTGTTTTTTTTTTTTATTTCTTTTCGGTCGCCTCAGGGTTTAATTGACCGCGAAGAGGGCAATAACGTGGAGGCGCTGCGCAACCTGCAAAAGGCTGTCGAACTCAACTCGAAGAACATTGAAGCGTACAAAGAAATCGGACGCACCCTGTAAGGCAATTAGACTTGTATCGATTTTGCCATCAATGCCATTAACACTCCACACTTCACTCCCCATACTATATACCATGCTTGGACCTCCTCAGCTACAACATGGGCCGCTTCACCCAAGCCCTGGGCGTTTTTCGCGAGGCTGAGCAGCTCACACCACGCAAGGATCACGAAATCTATCACTACCTAGGCGAGCTACTCTATCGCGCAGCGACTGCCCAAAACCAATTGGAGTTGGCTCGTCAGCAACAGATAGAAGCGACCTCATACTTCGAGCTGGCCGTGCAAACGGGTAGGAAGCAGGAGAGCTTTATACGCCTGGCGGAGCTCTATCGGAAGGAGAAAGAGTATCAGAAGGCCATCGATGTTCTGGAGAACTGTTTGCAGTGCGTCTGTGAAAAGCCTAGTGTGTGACATATTTGCCAAGCAATAATATGTGCCTACTTGCAGACTAACGCCCGAAAATGTACACGTCTTGGCCGAAATAGGCGTTTTGTATTTGAAAATCAACGAAACGCAAAAGGCGCTCGACAGACTCTCGGAAGTTGTCAACATTGAGCGCAGCAGCCCGAAGGTCTCATTGGCCTTTGGAGCCATTTTACAGGTAAACAGTACGCATTATATTTGTGTAAACAGCCGCCCACTCAAATATGACCCGCCCATGGAGTTGATAAAAGCTAAATAAGTTTACGAAGTCAGGGAAGCAATCAATCAATTAATTTTTGAGCAGTTTTTTGAAAATTAAATATGTTTAGGTAATCTAAAGGGTGATGGAGGACAAAGAAATAATGTTCCAAAGGCATGGTTGAATAACTGAGCACCAATTCAAAGAGCCTTTTCATAAAACTAGAAATCCCCATTTGGGGGACCTAATTACTTAGCAGCCAAACTATTTACAAGGAGTTGTGTATGTGTTCATTTTATTCTATGAATTCTCATTAAAAATTTCAATTGGAATATTAAACTGAACACACATTGTTAGATTATCGGGCAAAGCCATTTTTAAATAAGTAACGCTGGTAAGGCAAAGCCCATAAAGAAAATCGATATGATGAGTCAATGTTTACAAGGAAAACCCAAATTTTTTGTTCACCTTCTAATGTATAATATTTGTTTGTATGTATAAAGTTTCCTAGAAAAAAGCACCAACGTCTGTCTGTTGCTTCAGAAATGTATTAAAGCAGCCCCACTTGTATTCTTTTAATTCTTTAGGGATATTATTTTGGGCATCAACGTATTTCAATAATTTTTAATTTAATATTATTTTGCAAACTCTGTCTGTTGCTGCAGAAATGTATTAACGGGCTGCGTTCTTTAGGCTTGTAAACTCTAGGAAATTATTTTGGCTATCAACGTATTTCAATCATTTTAAATCTAAGATAATTTTGCGATCTTATAGTCACGCAACGATGTGGATGGGGCTCTAAGCAAATACAGCGAAATTGCAGATGCAGATACAAATGCTTCACCGGAAATTGCTGAGCTATGGAACAATATTGGCTTGTGTTTTTTCAAAAAACAAAAATTCATTGTGGTTCGTTGTCGTACTGAGAAAAACAGCTAAACAATTGGTTGGTTAATGAATATTGATTTCCAGGCTGTTTCCTCGCTGCGCAAATCCGTTTGGCTCTCGCCCCTCAACTACAATGCCCTCTACAACTTGAGCCTGATTTATATTACTTGTAAGTATTTCCTTATTTACTTAATACTTAATTATGCTCTGAAACGCCGAACGCCCACTCTCAGTGGCATTAGCCAAAAAGCGAATATCTCAAAAGATACATAAGTAGGCTTTATTTAAATAAAGACTTGGCGCAGTGGCTCTTTAGAATTTTAATTTTAAATTTATTTGCTACACAGGACAAGCAATTATGGTTATTAATTATCTGTGTTCTTTACACAGGATTTTTCAAAAATTTCAATCTTGTAAGACCTTCTAAGCATTTGAGTAGGCAGTAAATACATTTCCTCATGCTTATTATTAAGAAAACAAAAGCCAATTTAAAAATTTAAGGAAATTAGAAGCAGCGCTTTTAATTTCTTAAAGTCAAAACAATCCGGCTTATGCTAGACTAATTGGAGGAAAAATGGCTGCTTCAGTGACTCCAAAACGTCAGGTTTCTCAGTTTCAGTTTTGTCTTTCAGTCTTCTTGCAGCTACACCCCTTTTCCTATTTACCAGGAAGTTGTGTATAATATATAAATTTTTTTGATATCTAGACTTGAAATGAGTATCAGCATTGGTCGGGACAAATCGTTATTCCTCCAGGGGCAACTACTTAAGCATGTACCCTACTGCCAAACACTATCTTATCTTTCATTAGAAATCATCTTTTGTACTTATTTAACATGATAACTATCCCTAAGCCACAAGTGACGTTATCTATCTATGAATATTCTCATTATATAATTTGGTTCGCACTTCTACCAAAATAAACATGGTTCTAATGCTACAACACTTTCTAAATCATATTGTTCATTTTTTTTTTTTGATACATACATACTTGTATTATATGTATGTGTGCTTTAAAAAGAAGCCTCTGAAGAAGCCGACTGACATGTGAGCTACCTTTCTTCATTCTTCCACAAACAAAATACCCTTACACTATACAAAAAAATAGAAGAGAAACAATTATCTATAGTATAAGAAGTGATGGTTCCGATTTCAACCCAAATATTACACATCCCTTCAAGTGCATAATTTTCTTCAGGATTCCAGAAAAAATGACGAAATTTCAGAATGCTTTTAAAAAACTTTCGGGATAGACACCGAAGGCCTACAAATATTATTTTAATTTATGCTTTTGTTTACTGTTAAGACATAAAGAGCGACAAGTGTGCACAATAAATAATAATAAATTGCGTATTATAAAGTGTCGGCGAAAAGGCACATTTCCTTCATTTTACGACTTGGCGCCATCGCGAACACAAGAGAACAGCGGGGCGTGCATCTGTTGTAGGCACGAGGAGGCGGAGGTGGAGTTAATGCTGGGGTGGAGGCACTTTTTGTTATTTTTTCTATTGTTTGAGTTTTGTTTTTGGATGGGGTGGGGGTTGGGTTTCCAACCAAATTTTTCCACCTTATGTACACTTTTTATATTAGAGCGTTTGCCTATTCTGTTTTCCATCTCCACTACTGGCCATTCCCAAAAACTGTAGCAGAACAATATGCCAGCGCCTTTCACACGCTGGCAGCAGCCATAAACCTGCGCAAGGACAATGCGGAATGCTACATGCTGCTTGGCTGTAAGTAGGATAAATATTATTACGCCAACCGACCTTGGATGAAGTTCATAGTGCGTCTAACCACTCATACCTACTAATCTATGTACGCAGTGTGTTTGAGGAAACTGGAGGATGTGGATAATGCGTTTGTTGCATTGGAGCGTGCCTGCAACATAGCCAATGCCCATCAGAGTGCCGGACGTAATCCGTTGGTTTATTTGAATTTTGCCCTCTTCTGCTATGAAATGGGACGCTTGGCCTTGGCAGCGGAACAGTACAATCGGTTCCTTAGCAACTCCCAGGACCTGTTGCTGCCCACTGAAGTAAGTCGTGCGCAATGCCATCACTCGCAATGGCTCTATGTTGTGGCCCATTAGCTCGGTGTCACAGAATTCGAATTCATTAGTTCCATAAGTAATTGGAAGATATCAGGCCATAGTGTTCGATTTCAATTTCCCACGAATATGCAGTCATTTGCAGCAACCAACTGCAGTGTTTAATGAGTTTTTATCCAACAGCTAAAGTTTCAAGCCACGAAATTGAAATCTTTGCTGCGCATTTCAAGTACAACCAACGGCATTTTGTGTTCCAATCATCCTGATGGATTGGAGAATGGTGCAGCCACAGAACTGAATAATTCCGCAGAACAATCGGAGATGGCCATCAGCTCGGAACTGCCACTGGAGGTGAACGCAGTGGTCAGTCATAACGAAATGTAAATGTGTAATTGTATTTAATTCCATTAGAAGGTTGTTCATTAAAAAGCAAGACGCTTAAACTCACATGTAACATTTATTTCAACTTTGTTTTTCTTTTCAACGCGCAATCCATATACGAGTAAAAGAGTTGTTTAGATTTTTTTTTTTTTTTTTTTTTTGTGCTCGAGCCTCCAAGTGGCTTACAAATGTAAAGTGTATATGTAATTAAAGTAAAGTATGCTTAAGTCTATCTTTGATTTATCTTAGTCATACACAATCGGTTTACTCAATGGATACATAATGTGAATGCAACACATTATATATTTCTACATGGTGCTTTTTACAATGTTTGCGGAGCAAGAAAACAACCAGCCTAAGGGGCTCTTTAGGCTCATCGTCTTCTTGACCAGCTTGCAGCTTTGTACAACTTCATTTATTCATTTACCACATTTCTATTTTATGTAATTAATTTACTGAATTTACAAATGGAAAATGCATTAATCATTCTGCAAAATCGAACAAGTTAAAACTTGTTAAGCATACCTGCATATGTATTTGTAAGCACATCGACAATAATAGCCATGAAGCCGTTTTTAGGGAATTACTCTTAACTATAAATAACTGACTTTCAGCTTGTTTAAAATTTACTGTTCGGTTTGGTTGAACTTAAGCCTAAATCTGTTCAAAACACAATTTAATCTGAAGTATACATTAATGGTTTTTCTTAGCTTGTAGTTAAAACTTGGAAATTTTCTAAATCCAAATACATTATTCTCAAAGCATTACAATACTAAATGAAAATGGCACTTGCTTGAATTTTGTTTTCCGCACGCGACAGAAAAATCAGCCGAAAGCAACAGCAGCAACAACGCCGACTGCCAAATCACAAGTAAATCCATTTAGTTCACTCTCTTACCATGATCCAATGTAATTTTCTTAAATTGTAATTTCGTTCCTCTTCTTTTTCACCTACAACTTTTCAAAAGTCATTAATTTAGAAATTCAGATGCGACCGCGGCGTGAAACATCTTAGAGATTGCCGCGACCCATAGTCCAATCATATTTCAGCTCTGAAGCGCATTTGCGAGCTCCTCTATGGGCGTGGTCGGAACCATAGTTTGCGCCGTTGCCGTTGCCGTCGCCCTCGTCCCTATACACAAGTTGTGGTCACACGCGTTAGGCGAGTCATCTCCGTGCTGCCGAAGTGCCGCTTAAAGAACAGAGACTTGAAGGTGGTGCGGAACTGCTTTGACATCAGGCCGTAGAGCACGAAACCAATGGCCGCGTTAATGAGCGCCAACAGATCCATAATCTCTCCAAAGGGTGGATAGCAGTGGGCAAAGAAACATTTCTCTAGCATGCCGGAAAGCAAGCCCAGAAGTCCTTGTGGAAATTCCGTGATTAGAAACAGCACCAGCACGGCCACAAGCAATAGTGTGGTGCGATCGTTGCGCCGATCACAACGCGGCGGTCTACAAAAACAAATAGGTATAGACACAAGCACTATTAGTATTCTTCCTTACTTATATAGTACTAGCGTCCTGCCCCTGCTTCGCACGGGTATTTTTACAAAAACTTTACAAATTATACATTTTATAACGCACCCCACACACTTAACACACATACACCCTTCTTTTTGCTATGAGTTACTAAGAGTAACTTTATTTTGGATCTTATTATTTTAATGATTTTTTGTTCATTTTTAGATTTTTTTTTTGTTATTCTTTATTAGGTCAGAGGTTCGCTGTAAAAGATATTTGATGTTTTATTTTGTGGTAGCGAAATAAATTGATTTTCAGGAACATTGATTTCCCTACTAATTCAAAGGCTTGGCCTTGGGGTTACCGGAAATTGAAGCCATATAAATGATCAAATGGGATCATCGGTATCCTCGTTATATGAGCTAGTGGACCAATTGCTGGGCCGTTCATAATAGTTGCTACACTTAAATTGTCCTGCAATTCCTTAATAAGCAGCCTCGTCCCATTGCACATGCTTGGAAGGCTTTAATTTCTCAAAATTCCGAATTTTACCGTCAATTCATGTGGCGGCAGTCCAGAAGGTTTTATTTAATTTAAATGTCTTCAATATTAATCAAATGTCTTCAATCATTAATATTACCTTAACATTTAAAGTGACAATGTTTCGAGGATGATAATGAACTAACCGCATGCTATTCAGGAGTTTTTTAAGGAAATTTGTTTACACCTTTGGTTACATTATTGTCGTTTTAGTAAGGATTCCATTCTTTTTTGCAAATATAATATAGGCCATGTAGCTTCCCAACAGTGAAAGAATCCATTAAATCGGTCCAGTAGATTCGACAAACAAACAATCAAATTCTTTCTCTTTATAATGTTAGTACACTTGTACAAAACGCAAGGTTGAAAAGAAATACACCTAATTCTGATTTTACACGGTCTTTTTTACATGGTTTTGATTCAACACGGTTTGCAAATAATAATATATTGTTACACGACTTTATTCCATTTAGCACACACAGCTAGAAATCATTCTTATATGGGTCGTTATGCACATTATACAAGTACGATGATGTGATTCACTGATTCACTGATTCACTGATTTCAATAAGATGAGGAGAGCTCGTTCGTCTATCCACTAATCTATGTATCTAGTTTTAATTGCTACTCATTTTATGCATACAATCCACAATTCATTATTATTTATCAAGTGGAAAAATGAACACTCATCAGGCTAATGATATGTACATACCTCTTCGACTTGCCTTCATTTAATTGAATTGCATACTTTTCTGGGGCATCGTAATCCTTTAGCTTGAGTCGTCGACGGGAAGCCTCGCAGAGCACACGCATCAGCACAAAGCTAATGATGGTCAGTATGCAGCAGGGTAGTAGCTTAATTATCACGGAATGTATCCAGAAGTTGAATCTGTGTGTGTGTGTGTGTGTGTGTGTGTGTGTGTGTGTGCGTATAGTATGTGGAGGAGCAAAATAGTATTGCGAATTACGTAATTGCTTCAAGGCTTACCTGTACAGAATAGTGTTCTTGTCGGCATCAACGTGATACAATGGCACTGGGCTGTCCTTCGCATAGCTCTTCTGGACCTTAAACACAAAGTACGTGGGAAAGCAGAGAATGGGCGATATGATGAAGGGAAAGAGTATGGCCTCTCTGGAATGTGATAGTAGGAAGTTGGCGCAGCTGCCGTTGGGATGCCTGTGAAAAAGAGAGGGAAACACTTTGCTATAAACGAAAACAAAAGAAAAGAAAAGCCACATTGCTGATGTGTTATTCATATTAGCCAGTTGACATTGACAAGTGCAAGTGCAGTCAGAAACTTAGAAAAAGCAACAAAAAAAAGGCCAAGTAGTAGTGTCTTGCCAGCACATGTAAGTAAACAATGCGTTATGCGAACAATAGACGTGCATGCAAATGCAGATTATACATGCCAAAAAGCTAAACAAAAGCACACAAATACCAGTCCACACTCACCGACTACCACTTCTCTTCCCTCCCACACCTACCTGATTGCAACATAACGCCAAACAGCCAGAGTGACGGTCAAGCCAATTGAAATTGTGTGCAGGATCTGTGTGAAATGCATGTGAACCAGAACGTAAACAGCCCAGCCGTAACTGAAATCCTTTTCACCTGTAACAACATAAGTAGATATGTGAGATGCCTTTCCATGTATACAAGTAGTACACATGTAGATTTTTCATTTGCATACCCGGCTTCATATATATGTACTGGTAGCATGTGAAGGGTATGTATTCCAACATGACGAACATGTCTGCCACAGCCAGCCATTTCAGAATTTTGTTGATGGGCGCCTTTGCCATCTCCTTTCTGGTCAGCACCATAATATTCAATATGTTTGCTATTGTCCCAAATATGCAAATCTGCAGAAACAAAACCAAATAACACTTATATAGTGTGCAAACAAAATGAAATGCTACTTGTACAGTCGAAACAGTGTATTGCACAGTCGGATGAATAGACTGTGCAATACACTGTTTCAACTCAAAACATTCGCTATTTTTTCGACATATTACATATACGAATATTCAAGGATTACGTGCTCTATTCATTTTTGAATCAAAACAATTACTCGATTATGTGCTTGGTTGATTACATGGAAAACATTTTTTTCAGACTTTTTTCGTTGCAAAAATCATATCTCCTGAACGAATAAAGTAATTTTAGTACAAAAAAAAAACATTTAATGATCAGTTTCGTATGATTTAATTTAATTTTGAATTTAATCATGAAATAATTTTGGAAATATCCTCGTTTTGCATGATTCTTGCATATATTTATACCCCCAAAAAAATTTTTTTTGTTCCTCGAGTCGTGGATTTCCTCTAACGTTTAGTAGGCCCACATTTTATCAACCGTGGAAGTAAGCTTCTTTTCACGAGTATTTCTAAAATAATAGGTCTGAAGTCGCCGATGCGTATTCTCAATATTAAAGTATCATCCAAATCTGTAAAGTTATTTTGAGTTTTAAACTTGACTTTACTATTAATTATAGTAAGGATACAGGCATATTTCACAATATATTTCACCTTTAATTTCAAGCAATATTGGACTTATACATATCTATAATTTGAGATTTATCACTTACAGTAGATTTGAGTAAATCAGACAATCCTTTGAGAGAGATTTTCTTAATCTCTGGAACATTTACTAGTAGATACGTTTATTCATAATCCTCAAAGCGTTCATGAAATTTTTTATTTTCGCAAGCTGTGCAAACCGTTAGTTAGTTCAACATTGCCTTCAATTAGAGTATCTACGTATAGCTCAGAACCAAAATGCTTTTGTCGTAGAAATATAGAAATCCTCTTTGAGTAGTTTTCGCATCTACTGGCTAACATTTGACACAGGAAAACCTGTCTTTGACTTTGATTTGAGTATATATCAGTGACAAAGTAAGCTCGTTTCCCGTAAGAACATAGTAATCCTCTTTGAGTGATTTTAGCATGTTATGTGGTACTCGTAATTGCAAAAATATCGACTCCTATTCATGGTAAGAAGCGTGACCTTTTGCCATCGAATAAATGGCAAAAATCCAAAGAGTCCATTCGTCGAGGACAGCGTTAAGCAATATGTCTTTTGAAGGGTATATAAATGGGAAATACAATTTACGAGCGTGTAAAGACAAATCTATTATATTGGTGGTTGATGGAACATTCACGTCAAAAACCCTCATAAAACTGTAGGTGGACTACAATGCACAATACAAAAAGAATAACATTTCATGTTTTATTCATGCCACTCAGCCTTGTGGATGACTTGTGTCAACACCTTGGGGTTTGATTTCAAAGTTATATACATAGTATAAGCATAATGTATGCAGGACGAGCCAAGTTCGATACACTTTTCTGTCAATAATAATATTAAAGCCTCAAATTAAATGAAAGGCCATATCGACTACTTTCGTTTCTCAGGAAATTCAAGTCAAGCTCAAGTGTTTTCCATCACAAGTTAAATTTAATGCTGATTGAAATGCTTAGAATACGTTTCATTTCCTTTGCCTATCAGACATAAAAATGCCTGAATATTAAATTACTTTTGGGTCAGAAAAGACCAAATTTGTAAGAGAATACTCTTATATACTTAGTAAGCGAGCTTACTAAATATGTATAAATGTCGAAAGGCAGGAAAATAAATTGCTTTCTGTTTTTATAAGGCACTGCTAATTGAGACAATATCATAAATTTAATTCTTTTGTTTGTGCAAGGGTTTCTGAAATATGTAAACACATAATTTTGCCCAATTTGTAAGGAGATTCAAAACATTCATTTATGTAGGTTGTGGACTACGTTCTATATACATGCATAGAGTTTTGTTTGTTTTTTTGTTGTCCGCAAGGTTCAAAGTTGACGGGCCGCACAAATGTTTCAGACACGAACACAAATAGCCCACAAAAACAAAACTCTTTTAGCTTACATTTTACTTAAGGGCCCTTTTTCATTCATTTTGAGGCCTTTGTGCTTTATGAGGCCCATCATCACGATAATTAGCACAGTCAAAATATTAGTTGTTGCTAATGAAAAAAGGATGTTTTTGTTTTTCATCACCCACTCACCAAGAGGGAAACATATCCATGTATATTATTGTAGGCCTTCAGCCACTGATAAATTTCTCCTTGGCAATAGCCAGCACACTCGTCCACGACTTCCTCTTTCTGCTGAGTTCGATTCTTTTGCAGATAATGATGCAGGAGCTTAACATACTCGATTATGTCGTTGTTGCTAAGCTCCAGGTCCTGCAGCATCGACGCATTCAAGTATCTGGCCAGCGAGGCCGTATCCAGTTGTGGCCCAGTCTGCGCCATATTTCAAATGTCCTGAATAAATCAATTGAGGCCTTGCAGCACCGCTTAAATCATCTTATCTGCCAATGGCTGAAAAAAAAGTAAAAAGTTGATTGAAAAGGCATTTTCATTAATTAATTTCATTAAGCTAGCATGCACAGCAGGCGTTTGGTAAAATAATTTGAATTTATTGCGCATATCCGAATGATTTAATTTTCAAAAATCATCGTTTTTAGGATTTTGTTATTGTACTGCTTGGAACAAATTAAGAAGTAGTCATTGTATAAGACATTTGCAAAATAAAGTCATAAGTATGGGACGCAACATGGCTTGCGTTCCTTTATGAACTGCTCAAATTTTCGATTCGACACACAGTATTATATACTACTATAATCCAAAGTGCTCTTAAATAAAACATTGCTTGAATTCCATCATAAATAAATTTGCATTTTCCTCTTTCTTTTTTCTTATGCAAAAACACACATTTTATTTTCCTTAAACGCGCTGCTTGGTCAAAACCCTGCGTGGTTTGTCGATTTCTCAAGTCAGTATACAACTCGTAAATAGTTTAAGAATAGTTTTGAATATTTTTTAATAAATTCCTAGGAGAATGAATAATTTTTTAAATAAGCAAAAATGCAATGTCACTTAAACATTGGTCTTTATGTTTTTCAACAATAATCGATACATAAATTTAATGAGGTTTCCACAAGCCCATAATTGGTGAAGGAAGAAGCTATTGCAATTGCATTTCATACATTTTATGTCGAATAAATGTAATTGCCAGACCATTTTATTGCACTGCAATAATCGAAACTCCTGCCAACTAATGAGTGCGTCAATATGCCTATCACTGGGGATGCAATTAGACCCACAATAAAGGCAGGGTATTCCAAACAAACATACTTGTATAAAATAGCAGCCAATGTCCGTTCGAAGCAATGGGAAACCTGCAAATCTCGTCCAATTTGTGGCAAGTTGTACGTTGCCCGGCACAAATGATGACTGATTGATTGACGGCGAACAAGCGCAAATGCAAATCTCAAAATTCGATATGTATGCGTCTATAGAACTGATTGGAGACTGGCTCCAATGCCAGCCACTTGTGTGCTGATGTGCACTGATATGCAGGCCCCTGGCAAAGCATTATCCGCAACTTAACCTTTTGTGTGGCCTTGTCTACTAATGCCGATTGTTAACTGCAAGGCAATGATGAAAACGGACCTAGCCTGAACTGCCTAGCATGTGGCCAAGTTAGTGAATTTCTGCAGAAACTGTTGTGTTCACTTGGTGAATATTTGAGATTTGTTTCAGCACTCACAGCATTTAAGCTCAGTGTGGTGTACTTGTAACTGAGCCGACTCATTATTTTTTAATTGCAAACATTCAACCATGTAACAACACAAATTTTTGTAGTTCAGCAATAATTGATGAAAAATTTAATGCATTTTTTGCGAGAGCGCAACAACTTAGCACACCTGCTGTGACAGCTAGGGCGTAGCGCTTAATTGGAAACACACACACACACACACACAAACAGACACACAACGACATCGGACGGACCACATTTGTATGCCGATAAAATACGATGCATAAATCACTCAAGACTGTGAGTTGTGCAAATCAAAGCCGCCATGTCGCGCCGCGTCGTGGAATGAAGGTGTTGATGGCGACTATTGACTGTCGACTGTCAACGGCCAACAGCCAACTACCAACTGCCAACAGCCAACTGCCAACTAAAGGCGACCAATTACACTGGCTAATGGGTACGTCTCACTTGACGGACTGACTGTCCGACTGAACGACCGACCAGCCAGACTGATAGACGAATCCTGTTCTGTGGACATCTAAACGAAAAACGGAGCGAATTGATTGCGCAAATGAAATTTATTGCTCATATGAAATGTATTTCTTTAAACGTATTTTGATCTGCGTTAGCTGATTGCCTCACATGGTCAAAAAGTGCTTGGACCTGGGAGATCTCTGCAATATGAATTCACACAGGCGTCCACAGAAAACACAAGATATACAAATACATATGCGCTAAACATATCGCGAATCGAAAAGTATTTATTTGCTGCCATGGGGAAAACATGTGCCTCTTTTTATGCACGAACCAATATTGACTTCAAGTCAATAGCTATTATGTGCTTGAGCAATCACTCAATCATAAAATGTGCCGCAATAAAACGGCCATCAATCACAAATAGAATGGGCGTTAAAATGCAATTATCTTCAATGTACTTGGCCATACACTGTACAACAAATATAAATCGAGACATTTCTTTAAACATATTTTTTTTTAACTAAACACCATTACATTAGTTTTGTTACTTGAATATTCAAATACAATATACAAGTCGTTTCATAGAAACCTTGTATGAGTTTCAAACTTAGAGTCGGATTTGAAAGTCGCCATAACTGGCAAGATTATATGGATCGCCTAAATCAGACGCCTACTGAAGCAGCGAAGAATAAAAGGCGTCAGGGTGGTGAGGAGGCTGAGCAGATCGAACCCTATGGATCACCCCAAGAGACATCTCTCTTGCTTAATTTTTAATATTTAATATTTTAATATTTCTTTTAAGTTGATTTTTACTATTATTTTTTGTGAACACATCAATGTAAGTTATTGCAGTAATAACAGTAAAATTAACATAGAAAAGAATAAAATCTATTATGCACCCCCTGAAAAAATGAAAGTAAAATAAAACAAAAGAAGGAAATATTGAAGTTAGTTATTGCTGGCATTAGTCGCATCTAGATAAATAGTCTTTTTAGCAATTAAAACTGCCGTTTTTTATCTCGAATAATTATTTTGCCATCGTAAAGTCCAGCCATCCCGTTGCTGCTAACATGCGCCTTTATCCTTTATCACAATTGCAACAAAATATGTTTTTTAAACAAATTGCAACCAGTGGACTGTGTACACGCCATAATCAATTTAAAAACATTTCATATAATGTTACAAAATTGCAGTTAAAGACCAACGAGCTATGGAAACTGTTGGCCGCTCCAAAAAGTCCAGAGCCAGCTTGCGAGCAGTTGTTTATTTCAAAATTCCAAAGGCTTATACAGAATTTATATAAAAAGTTTTTCAAAAAAGTTGAATAAATATACTCGCATATGCGAGTATAAGAAACAATTTTTTTACACGATATGTGTGCGTTGTGTTATTTTTTTTTACTCGTATACTCGTATGCAGGAAAATTGAAAAGTTTTTCTTCCCGTATTGTCAAGCTGTCGCTCACATTGCCCTCTGGGAGGCATCATGGCCAGGTGGTGCGTGGGACGCACTTATTAATACATAGGTACACACACATACACAGACGTTGGCATATGTAAAAAAAAAAAAAAAAAAATCGCGCGAAAGGCGTTCTCTGACAACGCTGCCACGTTGGCGCCATTTTCACAAACGCTGGATGCCACAAGCTGACAGGCATAGATAAAAGCCATGAGGATTTGTTGCTGCTGTTTATTGCTTGCCATCTCTCCAAGCTGTTAATTAATGTGATGTGCTGCGATATCTACATACGTATATATATATGTTCATATCTACTACATAAGTATATGTGTATGTGTGTTGTGTGAGTTTCTACTTGTGCGGCAAGCTGGGCACGTAGCTGTTTTTTATTGCTTCTGCTGCTGCTGCTGCCACAATAGCCACAGTCTCCTACAAATATGCGAGTACCCCAACTCCACAAACTTATCAGTATCTGTCAGTTTTACTTCCCATAAAGCTGATGCAGCACATTTACTTCAACAAGTACGTATGGGTATTAAAGCTCTATTATCGTTGCGTGTCCTCCTCAATTACCAAAGTCAATCTTCACTGATGTCATGTCGAGACTTGTTGATATCTATTTATTATAGCTACCTACATCTATTTAAAAATATGCAACTTCTTGAACAGACAAGCGATTGAAGCGCAAATCATTTGCAATTCAAATAGCATTTATAACACATTTGATTTTTTGGGTCATTAATAGCGTAAACAAATTAAAATATTAACCCATTAAATTGAACTAATCTGCCCATGCATAACAATTAATGAAATCGAGACGATAAAGTATTTTGCAAATAAATATTGCTTTTTAAATGCTTTGCTAAATGAATTTCCAAGTTTACATCTAGACCATCTACCCCATTCGTGCTACTATCGAGCGTAGTGAACGGCAACATAATGAATAGCTTTATAAATTGTGCAATTAGTTCAAGTCTTATTGAAATAAAGCAGGGATTTATTGGCCAAATTTGTCAACGTTTTTATGGCTGAGTAAAATTCTGAACTTGAACGGCTCAGCTGGCTGCTTAAAAGCCTCTAAGTGCTTATAAGCCAACGTCTTTACCCCACAATTCCCAAATACGTGTACGCCACAGCTTGAATGACTTGTGGCAGCTATGCGAATATGTTTTTGATCAAAAAACTATTTATGCATTATACCGCTCGCTGGCAAGCAAAACTGTCAGCCTTCCAGCTGAGCAGGGCGGACAAAAAGCAAAAACAAAAGCACAAACACAAGCACAAGCACACATACGAGTACACATCGCATATCGCACATACGCACTGTTGTCGCTGCAACAAGTTTGTGCAATTTTGACTTGATGTGGGCATACTGTGGACGATATTTCTAGCGAATGCGCGTGCGTGTTGATTTCTTTTTTGTGTTTTCGTCCAAATACTTTTTGCCTAATGAGTGCGTTTGACTTAGTTTTGAGTGAGCTGCTAACATTTGACGTGCAACATGGAATTGTATAAATACAGTCAGTCTTGCTATTAGCCGCGTTAGTTAAAATTCTGACACGGTACAGTGTTGTTGGCGACGCAAATATAATAATACATATCCGTTAAAATGAAACTCATTGTAAGTTGATCAAATGAATATATGTATATCTAGTACTATGTGCATCAGTTTACCAAAGTTCAAGAGGTTACAAGTTTTTCCAATGAAAAGGAAATCATAAACGACCAAGTTCTAAAACAAACAATACGAAAATTGTTGTAAGCCAAAAAGTTTGACCGTAAAGCTATAGATGAAGCAAAATCTTGTGTTTTATTTATACGATTTTTTGAGACGATTCCTCAAAAGAAGAGTTAACCATGACTACTGCTCTTTTGATACTTCGTGTTTAATATTTAATTTCAAAAGGCAGCCTGCAAACTGCCAGCAATTCCAGAAATATGTTTACATTTCTATTCCAATTCGTTACAAGTACTGCCGTAACATCACTCCTTGCCAAAGTAATTACTTCTACCATCTCATTAGTTTATTGACTATTTTCCTATGGTGTGGGGGCAGAACTGGCTGTCAATATTTTCCGTTACAGGACTTCTTGCTTTGAGTAAATGAGAATCTATTTGTATATACTTGGCATTACATTGTTTGCATATAATTTTCTTTACTTTCATGCGATTTAAAAATTACTGGCCTGCGTTCTAATGAGCAGCTCATATTGCTGATTGCTGGCGTGGCTTGCACCTTGGCCGCACCTGCCAACCAACAGGAACATCAACAGGCGGAGTCCTTAAGCAAGGCGAAGCGTGGCCTGTCGCTTGGCCTTGGCTACCATGCACCATTGGTGACGCATTCGCATTATGTGGCACCGGCTGTCGTGCACCATGCGCCATTGATTTCCCATGCACCGCTCATTGCACACGCGCCTCTCATTTCACACGCGCCGCTGATTGCGCATCCGGTGTCATACCACTTGCCCACCTACCACTCCATCCATCATTTTAAGTAAGCAGCCGAACAGCAGACGAGGATACAGCAACAACTAAGCGAGTAACCTTCGGGCAACCTTCGCCACCTGGCCGTCTACATCTTACACAAACATCGAGCAGCACGTTGAACAAGAAATGGGGAAATGAAATGAGCAAAACATCCTCCCTCTGTTTTTGATTAAAAACCACGAACATTAAATTTCCAGAATTTAACTTTTATGTTAAGTTTAAGAATTCGCATTTCTACATTTGTAACCACATAGTACCTACCATCCTTGCATTTAAATAAATGTACGACTAAACGGTGAGTAGCAATTTCGACTAATTACTGAACTGCGTGGGCAACGCTCTGCATACACAATACTTAACCATCAAATTGCAATGCCAATTAAACGTTAATAATGAATCCGACGACTGTCAAGTGGTTAATGTTTACCCATTATCCTGGCAATGTACTATATGCTTCTAAAGGTAGCGCTTATATAATGTTTAAGCTTCTTAAGCCACAATTACCTTTCTGGCAAAGGTAGTGAATGCATAATAGTTGCATAATGGGTCATTGAAAATATTTTAAGTCACATCATCAACATCGGAAAATGGCGGAATTAAGGCATTTTTATGAAATTGTGATGAGCCCGCTAAAAATTTCAAAAGAATATACTTGAATTCTAGATTGTATACATATATAGTGAATATATGTACAAGTATATAATGAATTCTAGACTTTAAACGAGTTATACATGATCTTGCCTAATAAAGTCATCAAGCTACACGTGCACATATACGATATAATCAATTGTATTAAGAATAATACCCTTTTACTTTTAACTACTTATATAATATTTATTAATAGTTCCAGCCTTTCAAATAAGCTTTGTTGTACCATGCCACAGGTTACTATTGAATGTTTAAACTAAATGTTTAAAGCCAAAAGACATTATTTCCACCGATCGGTTTTTTGGCAGTTATACAACTATAAGTAATCAGACACCAGTATATTACACACGTATATCTTACATTTCAAGAAAATTGAATATAACATACATATAGTACATCTTATAAATATTTGTACTCACATACTCTGATTTGAGTAATTTGCATGGAAAGTCAATATTAAGCATTTCCACGAACAACTTAAGGTGTTAATTAGTCATGCGAAATATATATATACAAGAATATAACGAGGTATAGATCAACCAAACAGGCCAACGAATGACGAATGTTGTACATATATGTATGTTTACTCGTATAACAAAAGGACACAATTTTTATTTACATATGCCTATGATTACCTTTAAAATGGAGTCTGCCACAACTTGACTTGAGCTTTACACATATTAGACCAAAACCAATATACCCTTTCCAAGGAAATAAAAATATAATAAAGGATTTTTTTAATATTAAGAAACAACAAAAAGTCAACAATCACTTTATGTACTTAAAGTATTTCTATATTTCTATATTTCTATTTCTATATACTAGCTTAAACTCATTTAAATTACCAGTTTTATTCAATTCCACGGAAACTTGTGTCCAAAACACCATAAAACTAATACCTTTTATTGAACACTTACCAGTCACACGAACATCGATTGACAACATATTTATTTCACGAATTACGAGAGTTACGATTTGCGGGGGAGAGGGGGAAGGGAGGGAAATTCCAAAATACACAATTTCTGCGTATTCACATAAGGCTTTATACATACTTGTATACATATACGTGTATGCATAGAAATGTTCGAAAATTATTTACATTTTCCGCATTGAAAACCAAATAATATTTATAATTTGGGTCTGTTTGGATTTAATAATAGACTATTTTTTTTCGGACCAATGAACGAACTGAATATTGTATGTTTAAATATATAATTCGCATGCCTCCAAATCAATAAAATATCACTGCGCATTTGTTATGATTGCCATACAGAAGGCCAGACGTAACCCCATTTTCCATAGACCCACTTAATTATGTGCGTCTCGACCATTAAACGCCAGAACTTACATGTATAGTATACATCTTTCAGTAAATTTATTTCCAGTCTTTGATCAGTCAAAGTCGCAGAAGATTTCGGATAAGTTATAGATAGATATAGGTGTGATTATTGTGCTCGCCATTTAAACAACAGTATACAAAGAAAGTGGTGTAAAGAAAGAGTAATACGCCTGTATTATCTTTATTCAACAAAAAAAGTGCCAAAGAAGTAAAGTTAATCCGGGCGGCGAATATTGGCATCTTCACGTAGCCACAAGTTGATCCTTCGTTGGCAATTGGAGCCTAGCTTGGAGAGCGTGCAAAGTATGTAACATGCAGAAGGAAGCATCTCCGACCCCATAAAGTATATATATTCTGAATCAGCATGACGAGAGAAATCAATCTAGACATGTCCGTCCATCCGTCCGTCCGTCTGTCCGCCTGGATGAACGCAAGGATCTCAGAAACTATAACAGCTAGAATAACCAAAGTTGGCATCCAGATTCTCCTAGGTCCGAGAAAGGACGAGTTTATTTTTTTTTTTTAATTTTCCCCCCTTCTCCCGCTACAGAATTTCGTTATTAGCGTCCACATTTCAAATGCTACCCAAATCAAACTTTGCACACATAATTTACAAGTATATATAATTATCTACTGTTAAAATTGTATTCAATTCGGTCAATTCTAAGAAAAGTTACAAGTATTAGCGAAACAAATTCTCCCCAGTACAACCCCCCCCCCCCCCCCCCCCCAAACTGCAGCAACAAGTTCGCTCTTCTTCTTCCTCTTTTTGCTGCTGCTATGGGCTCATATAACTCAGTGACGGAAGTTTACCTGGGTACAGGGTACTACACTGTCGGGCTTGCTCGACTGTAGCGTTCTCTCTTGTTTTATTTTTATTTTAATGTGAGCGTGAATCAACCTTCAATTTTTGGTGAACGATTTACATGTTTACAATATTTATCACTTTAAGATATAGAATAATTGATTTCATATGTGTGTATCTACACTATTTTTGGTAGATTTTATTGCTTCATAGAAATTCACGAAAAGCACTTTTCAGATATATATATTATGCAAAGAATTTTATTTTGCGAAACTTAGCACGAATGTTTCCATCTAAATTTTGTTAAATTTGTATGCGCTTTTTCAAAGCTTTGCACACCACTTGATATTTTACGAGCATACTTTGCCAGAAAAGCGCGGGTACGATAAGGTCAATTAACTTTCATTACTAAGTGTAAATCCTGACAGCTGCCTTTGTGATTTGCTAAACTAACGCGTGCATTTCATGTCCTGACTACCAAGTGCTAGACCAGGACAATGAATGGCATCGTGACGTGCCATGCTAAAGCTTTAAAGGCAAGGAGAGAGAACACTGTACGTGGCCACAATACACAATTTTAGCACAACAATGAAGATCAAATGTTTTTTGTTTTGTAAATAAAAAAGGTATTGCACCACATTTATTGCAAACAAAAGTTTGGAAAATTAAAAACTTAAAAAACTTAGAAACATAAAGTCTTGCATGAAGCAACGTGCGACATTTATTCAGAAAAACTGTCACTCCAATAGGTAGTGGTAGGAGGCGCCACCGACTTGAAAAGGTCCCGACCCTGCGTCAAATTTTCGCCACTAACAGTGCTGCGTTTAGTGCTCTTCACGTCGGGCAGTCGCGGACAATTCAGACTCTGATGCCGCTGCAAACGTGTCTGCGTAAGGAAAGTGCGGTGACATCGCTTACACTCATATATCAGGCCATCTTCGTCATGCTTCATAGACATATGGCGCTTCAATTCTGCGCGCAGCTTAAATGCCTCGGGGCAAAGTTCACAATTGAATTGCAAGCGCTCTAGTTCATGACGTTCCATATGAGTTTGAAACGCACGCTGCACCTTAAATATTTTATTGCAAATCTCACACTGAATTTCTCGGCTTGGGTCGTGCGTTTTGCGATGCAAAACGTAGGATTGCTTTCGTGAAAACGTCAAGTCGCAACGATCGCATTCGAAGGGTCCTTGACTTGCGGCTGCCGGTGCTATACATTTCTTTTTGTGGCCAATTCCATCATCGTCGTTGTTGTTGCCGCTGCCCGACACTGCACGTTTTCTTCCCTGTTTACGTTTACGTCGGCCCCTACCCGACGTCCTTTTACGCTTATCACTTATATCCGAATCCGCCGAGTCGCTTTCCGCTGTTGTGGAGCCACCCACGTCAGATACCTTGAATTCTACATCGTCATTGAGCTCCTCCTCCTCGCTACCAGAATCTGAGACAGGGGCATCGATTACCACATAGCCGCGCGGTCGACGCACTTTGTTTTTACTACGTGACAAGTGTTTGCGCAGGTCCCTTTCGGTCGTCTCCAGCTTATTCTTCAGATTTATGGCAATTGTAACGCTGTCGAGACATCCGTTGCAGATGAACTGCGGCATGTAATCTTTCAACGCAATGGATACACTGGGACATATCGTCATTAGCATGTCAGCGGGCGTAGCATTGGCTACCTTTTTAAATAAGCTGACTAGTTCCTTCTTACCAGTGCAGACACGGCACTGGTTCTCATCAACTTCGTCCTTTTGCTGTACGCTTGCACGTGCACTTACGCTGGCATCATTATTCTCTGTGGTATGTATTACTGTTTTGGGCTGTGGGTCGTCCCCGTCCCCCGTGATAAGCTCACCCTCTTCGGATTCTACAAATGAAGCTTCCTCTGGTTCAGCTTCCTGGTCGCCTTTCTCTGGAATTTGAGCGTTTTCGTCCTCCTTTACGTGGCTTTCATCCTCCTCTTCAGGCATTTCGCCCTCTAGGTACTCGGCCACTCCCATCTCCATACCTCCATACTCCTCCTCCTCCTCCACCACTTCAGTATTGACTGTGTCGTCGCCCTAAAAATTGATAACGATTCTAGTTATCTCATAAATTGTATCCAGTACATTGTTTACAAACCTCTACTACTTCTCCTTGGTAATCAATAACTTCATCCGGGTGGTCCTTTGTGGCATCCTCCACCCTCTCGTATTCCTCCTTATCATGCTCTACATGTTCGGAAATGCCATTTGTTGATGCTACAGCATTTGTATCTGCGGCTATTGACTCTTCGGTTTCCATGTTATACTGTTTGTTTATGTTTGTTGTTGGGTTTTTGCTTATTTCGCAGCGGGAGCACACTATTCACACTATTTCGTTTTTGTTATAATTGTGCAGTATAACTTAACACGAACACTTTTTTCTACGTTTATACATAAATGAGCAGTTACTAATTAGTTTGAAATATATCTAATTGTTAAAATCGAAAATAAATTCTAGAAATATTATATACATCCACGACGCGGCCATATTACAACTATTGTGAATAGATACACACGCTGCAATCAGCTGTTTCGATTTCGATAACAGTGGTGAGACTGTAGCCGATAACAGCAGTTGTTTTGTGGGCGCCAACTGTTAAATTCAAAAAAAATTATTCACAACAAAAACAGTAGTAACATAAAAAATACTGTAAATTAACAAGTCCGTTTATAAACAATTATTATTTTTTGTATAGTTTAATAAAAAGCTGCAAACAAAAGACATTGTAAGACTTTTAAAAACAATCCAACTGTATCCATTTAAAATAAAGCACGAAAATCTACCATGAAAATTAATGGCGAGGCTAGAAAATATGAGGTTTCAGTCAATGTCAAAACAACAAACTACCCAAATTATTCACCACGACAGCTCCAATTCAACAGTACGAGTGAGCCTATATTTCAATAATTTAATGTGAACAGCACCAAAGAGAAAATATCGTTGCTAAAAAGAGCCGGCGACACCAAAACCACAATTTCAGAACGCCATTTGCTACCACAAAGCCAACAAGGAGCCTGGCCTTTTGCTCATCTGTCTGAGCGTGTGTATGTATTGTGGTTGTTTATGTATGGCAGCAGTTGAATGCTTGGCACGGATGTGCCTCTGCACCACTCAACTTGAGTTTGCTCATTTTGTGTGATTTACGTAAACAATTGTAGCATTTGACATTAGCATCATCAACGCATCTCACTATGGCGCCTTTCGAGAATGGCCCTTTTTGTATATTTGAATGAAAAGCTTAAGTCTGCAAATGAAAACTCAACGTACTCGATGGCACCAAGCAACGATAGCGAAACAAGGTTGAAGTCGCAAGATAAATATGGCGTTACGTAAATGGTAAAAAGCATGATGATGTCGTTTGACAACGTTGTCATTGCCTTCCCTTCGGCGGCGTCACAAAGTGATTAATTATGCATGAACGGCTGTGACGTGAGCACCGTGAAGCGGTTGCCCACCCACGACAGACAGCATCCGACAGGATGCAAAAGACAAGCAGCAGCATATGGTGTCTGTCGATTGCGTACGAAAAGAGGGAATCACATAAATAAATATACATACGTATATATAGAATATGGGTGCAATCACTTGTGTGCATGTTGCATATGCAAAAGGTAAATGCGCTGTGGGAAATATTTTGATTTGCTTTATAAAACTGATTAAATATTTGAGATCTGTGTTCAACTTAATGCAGTTTAAGTGTTTAAGTTCAGGACTTGCTAATCTTCGAGTACTGAGAGCGATATTGTTGCTTAATTTTACTTAGGATTTTCATCATCTCTATAGTTTTCAGTATGTGATTTCGCACAAAAGAAAATAGGTATCGACCAATCACGGTTTACGTCTTACCCCCTATGTCTACAATTTTAAACGTTGGTCCATATGTCCATATGTTCGTAGATATATGTACATATTATTCAATTGCAGTACTTGAACAAAAACATTTCTATGCATCATACTAAAATGACAAATGTACATATATGTGTACATACCCTTAGACTACGGTCCCATTGTTATCGCAAAAAGCAATAATGTATAGTAATGTGTTATCATAAGGATTAAACGAAAATTCCTATAAGTACTGTAATGAAATAGTCATAAAATATGCCATTAGCGTGTGCGTTGTTATGTGTCAGTTAATTATGAATACAAACAATTTAGAAAAGCATATACAAGTATAATGTATTAATACTTGACTAACTTAAAAACTGGCAGCTGGCAGGTGATGTAGCGAAAGCAAATTCATGTAGCAACATGGCAGTCAAGAAAAACCTAAAATAAATTGCGCAGCAGACCACCTTAACGTTTTTGACGCTTATCTAAATTTTGGTTTGCGGAAATTAGCAACTACAAAAGCAACAGAAAGAGCCTTTGAAAAGCCAGGGTGACTTTGAAGTTTGTGCGTGCATGTGGATGTAGTTCGTGGGCGTTACTGATTTAAAAAATGTAGACACAAGGCTCCGAGCCGCGTCAATAAATAAATAAATACATGTAAAAAATTACTTGCAGTGGGTCGTTCATCTAAGTCAATTTGGCATTTTTATTGATTAGACTTTGACTTTCTTTTTTCTCGTACGATTACGTAAGCTAAAAGCCGCAATAATATTTATCCAATATATTGTAATGTATGTTTAATCATACTGTAGTATTGGAGTGAAATTGCTTTGCTAAGACCTCTTCACAAATCAGGTTATGAAATTATTGAAAATGCAATAAAAGCGATAAATAAATAAAATAAAATAATAAAAATAAAATAATAATAATAAAATAAATAATAAAAGCTGCAATTTAAATTTTTATGTTATATGTTATGTCATATGATTAATAGAAAAATTTCAACAAATTCAACTTAGTTCCATTTTTTAAGGCGAAATAGTGCGCCATAATAATGAATGTTTGTTCGAGTTCATATGGCCCGTTGCCCCTGCCTACGCCCTTGGGTAAATTAAGTTTGTGCAAACCATTTAATATTCTTCATCATCATGAAGAGTCGAATGGACGAATGAAGCCACGTTTACCAAAATAGGTATGTGCAGGCAACACGAGGTTATTTAAGTTTTTTTTATTTTATCCCTTCTCCCCCTCTGCAGACTTTCGTCAATATTCGTCATATTCTCCAAGCAACCAGTTTATTTAGTATTTTCTCCAGCAAATGCAAACAAAAATTTCTCATTTTGGTTTCAATAACATACGTTTACTATGATGCAAATGATGATGTTGTTGGTTACTGGTAAATCAAAAGCAGCTTAAAGTAGATTTTATAATTTATTCAATGTACCCGAATTCGTTGCAGTAATTAAGTTGTTCACTCATCGGTCTGATTGAATTTACGATATGTTTCTAGCCGGCCATGAAGGCGACTACCTAAATAAATGCGAACTTCGATATTGTGGTAAGGCATCTTTTAATGTGTTTTATAGTTTTTGTTCAACAATAGACCAACTAAGTCGATATCAGTGCTTTTGTAAAATTGTGAAAAATTATATATTTTGCGGTCATAAGATATTTATTTTTGAAGGCAATACGCAACTATAAAACTCTGGGCAGGTGCATTTAAATGGGACGTACAAGCAAAGAAGGTAAGAGACATCCGGATCGCCTAAGAACTATAAACGCCGAAATATAAAATATAAGACAGATAGCTAAGATCAAGAAGATGTCTAAAGACCGCGTTTGCAATAACGCATTATGCATTACCCGTTTAATGCTCAAGACCTTGCCCAAGTGACTTTCCAATATATGTATATTTTATTATATGTACAATATTTTCCAAAATTTCAGTTTTCAGCGTTAAGTATAATTCTTTTGTTACACATTTCCCCCAGCAAATCAAAATTATAACCCTGTTTCCACACATGTGTCTCAAAGTGGTTTATAAGCGCCCGAGGACAGGCTTTATCAAAGAGCCGCAGATATGATTATTATGTGTAATTCAATGTCCCCCAACTAAGCAGGCAATACTGGTGTGTAGTGTGAGTTTATAGCAGAGGAAATGCCCAAAGGTATGCTGCAAAAATGACCTTTCTATCATCTATAAACATACTACTATGTATCAATGAAATTGCTCGCAAAGCGATTAAGCTTAGGTATGAGAAATTTATTAAATTTGAAATAGAAAAAACGGCATCTGTACGTATGTACATGTAACTAAGCATGCTGCCAAATTAATTTCCCACATTATATACCACAAAATATAATTAATCTTTGGCCTTGACACCAAACAAAATATAATATATATAAAGGATTTTAACGGAATTACGAGCGCGATGAATTATCATTATAGCGAATTAATGTGGCACTAATCAACTCGAATTTGCAAACCCTTCTTGCTGAGCATTTAAACCCAATTATGTAAATGAGCGCATCTTTATATTCATTTGAAAAAAAAAAATACTCTCTTGACGGCTTGCCTGTAAATTTGTGTGGTACCGACATTTACGAGGAACAAAATGAAATTTAAAAAATAAAATAAGTAAAAGCATCAACAAAACATATAAGGGCATAATTTGTAAAGCCCCTGGGGTAATGTACACTCGTATATGTGTGCTGCTGCTATGTCGCGACGATAAGCTCCTTCCGTTGTGATGTTGTGATGATTGTAATGCGGAACCTTTATACACGCACATATACATACGCATATGTGCGTGCTATTTTTCTTAAAGAAATTTACACATGGCATACAATGCGAATGAATTACATATATGAGTATGAGTGGGGAGCTTATTATTAATATTTAGGGGCCAAGTGAGGCACAAACTTGTATAATCATATGACATAAAAACCGCACATTATTAGCTGGCTGCTAATAAACACTCCGATAAGCCTGTCTGGCTGTCTCGCTATCAACACATTAGATTGACTTCAAAAGCAAGTGACATGAAGCAAGCACAGGCTCTGGCCGCCACATACAAGTATGTATGTATAAACCTACATATGGCATTCCAATATTGAAAAGCTTTTGCTTTTGCCCACATTTGTCTCAATCAATTTGATGTTGATGTTGATGTTTATGAAGGAGCAGCACGTGCCTGCATTAGCATTTCACGTATTAAATTCCTAAAACAAGCGCCGACGATAGGTCCAAAATTTCAATCAAACTTGGCTAAAAAGTTTGTTAGAAGCGGTGCACGTGTCGCTGTCAAAGCCGTACGTGCAGAATGTTCGTAATAATACAAAAAAGCTCATAATATTATTGATAATTTGAGCAAGAGAGCAACGAAACATGAAATTTATGATCACCAAAGCACAACTCATTTTCACACTTCATAAAGCCCCACAAAGTATCAGCAGATAATAGTCAGTCGGTGGACAAACTATTGTAATTATTAGATAATTAAATTGGAAAATATTCCATTTTAGTATACTGTGTCCTCGTCTCAAGTTTCAAGGATATGTGAAGGTAAAGCAGCTCGATGATTTATTTTAATTCATTGTATTCATTTAATTCTAACTTCTACAAATAACAGATAATTATAATTTGATCATTTTTTATGTGTCTACATGATTCATAAAATATTTTAATTAAAATTTGCTAAACTGTTTTTTTTTTTTCAATCTAATAAATATAAGTACAATATTGAGTGCTCTTAATGAGATTAAAATTTGTCAAATTTTAATAAAAATACAAAATTATCTTCACAGTTCTTCTAATTACTTCAAAAGAAAAGTAAATTCCTGAAGGTTGGGTTGGTCGAGCTGGCAACGGTTTTTCCAACAGCTGAAGGATGGCAATCATATATTGCAAATGTATTTGAAATTAATTTCGTGGTATACTTAACAAGTTAAACATGTTTACAAATATCATGAAAATGCACAATTATGAAAATGAGTGTGCCATCACTTCAAATAGAATTTGTAGACTGTAAAAATCTTTTGAAGTGGCTGAGTTGTGACATTCAAAGCATAATTAACGGCCTAAAGACATATGCGTTCATATCGCAAGCAAAATAAACTTAAAAATATTCCAAAAAAAACCCTCAAATATTTCAAAAGTTTTACTTTCTTTGAGAATCAAATTAGGCAAGATAAGCAACCGCTTTTAAACAGGTTCCAGTTTGACGAATCAACATTTTTGCCAACACAAAGGCGACAAACGCCAACGCTCAATAACGACAAATTGTTATGGTAGAACTTTCTTTGATCTTGAGCGCGCGGCGTCTACGAATGGGGAATGCCCAAGTTGCGGCTTAAACATAAAAGCACATAAACAAAACAAAAAGCTAGCGAATAAAAGTGTGCTATGCGCCCGTACAATGAACCGAAGACGCGCATACGTGTATAGCTATTAGAACAAACAAGATAAATATGTACATATATATGAATAATATATATGAATATATATGAATAACTAATATTAAAACACATATAAATTGAAATTATCAAAAATATATTTGTTGATTTTTATTGTTTACTTTCAATCTTTCCCCTGATGGCACCCAGAGTCTCGTCCCTGTCAGATTTCTAGCGCCAAACGTTTGTTCTTTTGCGAAACTCGTTTTATCAGAGCTTATACAATAACAACAAACATTGAAGCGGATTATAACTGGCCGTCTGCATATTTTTGTCGACGACGCCACCACCAGCACCAGCACCACCGACGCCAACGCCGACGCCGACTTCAAAATTAATCGTCTATATACACAAACAAAAGGCAAAAACAAAATCAACTATAAAATATAAATCAGCTGGCCTAGTACGCTTCCAATATTGCCCGCTGGATTCTTTCATTCATCCCAGCTGTGCGTCTATATCGGGGCACATATGTACGAGTAGTATAAATAGCAGCCAGTCGGCCACAGCAAATTAGACTAAACTCAACCTTCATTGTGAACAAATACAAGAGCTCAAACGCAAAATGACGAAATTGGTGTTCGTTGCCTTGATTGTGGCCGCCATTAGCCTGATCTGTGTTAGTGCTGCACCCGCTCAGATTTTAGATGCGCATACTGCCATCCAGAAGATAATTGGTATGTTCCATAAAACACAAACACTGCGCAGTTAACATTCTAACTTGCAAAATATTTATTTATCATTGCTATAGCTGCTTACAACCGCTACCCAGGACCTTCTATCGTACACCCACCAGAGATTGCCACTCTCATTGATCCCAACACATTCGTGCCTAACATCTATGGATAGGCTGGCAAATGTAAGGACAACCCTAATCTTGACAACCAATGTTATTGTGTTATTGTTTGTGTGTTTTGTTAATTCGAATAAAATAAAATTAAAAAGTTTTTGTTGAAAAAACATAAAAAGCTTGTAAAGCGATATTTCCATTTATTTCACCTTTTTTTGTTTATCAGCAACGCTATTAAAATTATTTTACGTTAATTATATAATCAGCACCAATTAGGCGGCAAACGTTGGAACATTAAATACGAACGGCTATATTATACGTACCTCAAACATTTAGCGTAGTACTTAATCTCATTAAAATATAACACATTGATACTTAATTGGCGCCGCTCCGAACTGGCCATTAAATTTAAATTCAATGCAAATGTGACAAAGTGTCGGTAATAATATAAACGTAAAGTTTAGCGAAATGCAAGGTGAAGCTAATTTTAAATTATTTGCAGTTATTATTTAGCAACAAAATACCTACAAATATACACAGCTGATTGTTATTCGGGTATTTCAGAAGAACTTGTTCCAATTTTAGCAATCTTTAAATATGCAAACCAAAATGCCATAAACAAGTTAGGTTTGCAGATATCACCAAATATACGAAATTCCAATGTCCGAAATAACCCGGATTTCACGCACCTAATTTTTCAGACTTTGCAAAATATATACTATATGTTTGTTCGATCCAAATGTTGTATAAACATGCGCGGCCATACCATTATTCAATAGTATAGTTTATATTTTTGATGAACGTACTAACTAATAACAAGTCAACACCAAATATAAAATTAGATTCGTAACAGGATCGCAAAAGTAATCAGCCTGTGAAATTATTTCCTCTTGATTTTTGGCTGCCTTTATATTTCGAGGTTGGAGAATAAAGAAATACAAGTATGTACATTTATTTTTTTAAAAGATTCAAAGGTTCCTTTTGGGTTTTTGTGCTATTCACAATATTCTCCATGAATACACTATCAATACACTAATCTTCAAAACATTTCTTCCGCTCAGAAGACTGTGCCTTCAAAACAAATCTTTTAAAAGGGCATTTGAAATTTGTTTAGTAGTTACAAGGGCTGCCTTTTATATTTCGAGATTGGAGTAAAAACAAATATGTATATTTCACCAAAAGATAGTTCATTCTTGTTTTAATTGCATTTCATAATATTCTCTATGAATTAACAACTCTTCGAATCATTTTTTCCACTCAAAAACCGTGAAAAATGATAACCCCATTTTTTTGATATGTTGAAAAGTTCAGTCATTTATTACTGTAAATGGAACCGATTGTCCCGTGGGTTGATGATCCGTTTTTTGCGCATCATTTCTCTCAAATCTTCAAAAACTTCTGGAAAGCAAATAGTCATGTACCATTCCTCATGACTATCCTATGCTCTACCGAAGGTACAATCGCCACTTAAGACTACTTGTAAGATAGTCAAATTAGTCGCCACTTAAGACTAAGACTAAGATAGTCATTTTGTGAAAAGCTAAGCGTTTAGACAAGACGCAGATGCGCAGGTTCTCGAACAGCTCACTATTTTGAGTTATAATAATATTTTGAAGATACTTTTTTTTATCAGTATATATTTGGAGTAAAATTTTTAAACATCTTTCAAAATATCTAAAATGTACGACTTAATATTACACTAACAACATGGCCAGCTTACAAATAATTGTCTGCAACAAATCATCTTAAATATTTAAAAACTAAACATACAGCTAGATCAAATATGTGTTACTCGTGTCAATTGTCCTTTTTAATATATTTTTTTTATTGTAAAGTTGTTATTTTAATATCTACAATATTTATATATACTTGTATATATATATATATATTTTTTTTACTTTTTGATACCTTCTATTTGTTCCCATGTATAAGTTGAATTATTGTTGTTTTTAACTTTCCGCTCCGTTTATTTTTGTTTTCCAACATGATGACACGTGGTGTCAGCAATCCATCAGACACCCCTTGACAATTCCACAAATTCTGAGTGCACTTCCTCCTGCCGTCCCATTTGGCACTCAGCCCTTTCCCATGACGATAGTAAAACGAATAGCGAATATTTAATTCACTGTCATGGCAGCTAAAATTTACGGGTTGTTGATACAATGTCTTGACTATTTGGTAACTATTCATTTCAATATTTTGTATTTGATTATCCAATAAAAAATATTTCGATGATCATATTTTTGCACAGAAACGCAAATAATCGAGAAGACAGCCTTAAAATACAAAATAAGTGAACATCGAAGTTTAAAGCTAATCGTTTTATAAAACTAGTAACAGTCTGGCCAGCAACACAGCACATGATTTGCATTTGATTTCCAAGATTGTTTACAGAGCACTTGCACTTAACTCGATTTGGCCTTCATCTACATAGTATGTGCACACACTTCAATGTGTCTGATATTGAAGGTCATAACCCGGAGGTTTAAGCTGCTGCAAAGGCACAGCCAACAAGTTTTTCGTCATGGATAACTGATACTGGCATAAATGGGAGCTGCCAATGCATGGACCGTTACATACATTTCAATATCATTGCATATGCATGAACAAAATATTTCGCACATTTGCCGTGGCACGTGGGCAATAGAGCATGAACTCGAGGAAAGACCAATTCGCAGGGGCTTGGTATAACCGGTACTACCAACGAGAATATAAGTAACAAGAGCTGTAAAGGCATGCATGGCACACTAAAAAAACACTCAAATATTTTGAAATGAAGGCAGCTGGGAATGGATGAGCAACACACCGACTCTGATACGATGTGAAGATAATGAATACATTGCACATACTATAGTATACATACTATATGTGAAAGGTTGTGATTCAGTTTACTATATACTTGTATGTATTACTTCAAGTTTAAGCAATAATAACTTTTAGTTGATTATATACATAACATAGGTATACGATGCAGCAAAACTTTATTCCAAGGCTGTCTCAGATTTAAAGATAAAGGCAGCTGAAATAGCTAATGGCGCCTATAGTTCAAGCATAACAGCGGCAAAAGTTATAGTCCATAGCATTAAACATCCTGCAATAGGGCACTTGGTTAACGCTCTTCTTAGGTACTCCTGCCTCCACAAGTGTAACTAATTGAAACGCCCAGTAACTAGATATATATACTATATATACATAGTACGCGCACATGCTACGCATTTTATAACACCAACGCCAATATTCTTTTATTTTTATTACAGCCCTATAAAACATCTGGCGGCTAAGCTGTGGCCACCCCCTGTTCCCTTCTGCCGTTTACGGTCGTGCTGGGCCCACCATATGCAACAAATGTCGCTTGACACTTGAATTTGCTTGAAATCCTAATAGTTATGGCCAGCCGAAGAATGTAATGAAAACTCGCACATACACAATCGATAGTAACTAAATTTGTAAGCAGGTTAGAAACATCAATACATTTGAATTGCAAATGATGCCCAATAATAAATAGGCATTCCATACACTCGTTTACATACATACTATATAGTATATGCATGCATATGTATAGTACATACCTCGTTAAGGTGGAATATCTCTCTCAGAATCTCTCTCGCTGATTTAATTATGCAAATTGTTGGCGCCACCAAAGTGTGCTAAAAAAAAAAAAAACAATATTGTTCAACAAACATGAGAAATGTGATATACTTGTTTAGTATATAAAATGTGTGTTTTTTCTCTTTTTAGGTTGGGATCGAAACAAATACAAGATTAATGATGTTTAAATTTACGCCAATTGGTTTTTGCATATATTTGATTAGTATCTGTCTTGCTTTTCGCTTATGTTTTTTTAATTTCCGACGCGAGACTAAAACTGAATGAATTCTGTGATGGCCATTTACATTTGTTATTTGTTATATATTTACAATAATATTGTTGCGGTAACATATTTTAAGCAAACAATTGCTAAACATAATTTGATAGTATAAAAATATGCTCAGATTAATTAAAAACATATTTGTAACTACAACTTTTATTGCGGATATTTTTTCAAGTATGAACTTAACAAAAAGAAAAAAAAAATATATATATACAAAAAATATAAACATAAAAAGAAATTGGTGTTTTTATACTCTATAAACAACAAAAGACGACAGACCCCACAAAATACATATATACTATATATAGTATTTATGAATTTTATTCATTTATCTGATATTTGCTTAATAAAAATAAAAATATAATAAAAATTCTTAATTCAAATATGCAGCTATTTATTATATATTCTGTTCACAAAATTTAATCAGCTCATGTGTAAAGAATAAATATGACACTATACTACTCATTTGTAGTATTTGCAAAATGAATTAAATATTTGTCACTTTACCTCCTTCACAAAATTTAATCAGCTCATGTGTAACGAATAAATATGACACTATATTGTACTACTCTTTGTAGTATTTGCAAAATGAATTAAATATTTGTCATTTTACCTTTTTCACAAAATTTAAAATAAATTGCAAAATAAATTAAATTTTTGTCACTTTTCATTCTTAATTTGTTTTTTCTGCTTTGTTTAGTTTTGTAGTAGAAAAAAAGCCGAGCATAATAACAAAACAATTCACTACCCCATTTTCTACTCGTTCATACTTATGTAGTAAGTAATTTTATTAAAATATATACACAGAGCAAGCCAGCCACTAAGTTAATACTTTATTTACTGATACGGAATATGATTTAGAAAGAAGGTGAGAAATGTATATTACAAGGCTTCAACAAAACATTCTGCGCTCGTCCGTCAAGACGTAAAATTGAGTTCTGCAGTCGGTCGTCTCATTCCCTAAGGTTAAGCAAGGCATGAATGCATTTGTGTTAAGCCCAAAGAAATTATATTTTCCAAGATCATTATTTATTTTAATTTTGTATTTCAAAAACGAGCATAGAATACATTAAAATAGACTTAAGCCAATTTTATACAACAATTATTCGCGCAAAACTCACTCAAACACAATAAAATACATTGAACAAAGTTAAACGTTCATTGCCCAAGTTATAAACACAAAAGTTATATGTTAATAATATTTAATTGAGCTTGAAAGAAAATCCCTTTTTTGTGTCCACTTTCAATTAATTTATTCATTATTCATCAGATCAATGCTATATTGCCCTGATAGAAACAATGCGCAAAGAGGAAAACACAAAGAATGTAATCTCCACATACAAGGCCCCAAAAAGTATGCTACGCATTTTTCTGATGCTGCTGTGGCACACGGACAACATGATGGAAATATGCATTCCTATTATGTATGTACGTGTTTAAGCGGCCACCAATCGATTGACCGCTGCGCCGCAACGTAAGCGAATGAATGTATGCAGTTATTTATGTGGGTTGGAGTGTTGTGTGTTACAGATTTACCGGAATGTTAAAATCAAATCAAATGAAATGAACCGAAAATATTTCAAATACCATCGTCGTAAGCGATTTCTTTCCCCTGCTTAACTTTGTTAATGCGAAAGTTTTGTGCACATTAACAGCAACTGAATACTGACAATTTTGTTGAAATCTCAAGATTGATGTGTGCGCGGTGGGCGGATTGCGTTTCTGTTTGTATGTATTTGAGTGGTTTTTGGGCAAAACGCACAGACAAGCAAAGGATGCGGAAACGGATACTTTTGCCGTCATGGCACATTGAATTTGATTTCATCATATGCTTTGCGCCTGTTAGCTCGACAACAAAGCCATCTGCGTTGTTTGAGGCACCCACCGTAAAATTTCTACTGTCAGTAGGTAAAGCAAGAAATTTACACTGAAAAAATTACAACCGAAATGAAATGGCTTTCAGAAAAAAATTACTATGGCTAAAGAAGTGAAATGCCAAGTTTCAATTAAGTACCCCTCAGAGAGAAAAGTAAAGATAGTCAAGATACATAGAGAAGAAAATAGAATATTGCTGCATCCACCTCAATTCCTTGGAGAAAAGAACCGAACTGTTAGTGACATCAGTCCCAGTAAGACATTCTCATCAGTTTAATTACAAATATACGCGTAATTATTTCATTGCATTAACTACTTTAAAATTTTAAGAAAAATTAAACAAATTTGAAAAAGTTTTGTTTTCTGTGTAAAAAGGTTTATGTACACTTAGGCATACGACTATCCACATAACACGCATGTACAAGGACAAAAATTGGATTGGGTGGAGTGCAACGTCAGCAGAGCCAAATACTATTATAGTTATATAGTACTATGTATACATAGTTCTAAGAAGTATTTACACCATAAGTGGCGTCAGCAAAATACACGAGATAAGACATAAACGTTTTTATTAACAGCTGTGTATAAAAAAGTAATTCCGTGTATAAAAATTGCATACAAAACGCGCACATACATACATGGATATGCACGAGTCTATGTATGGATTTGTACGACGATAATGCCACGGATTGAACTTTTTTGTTGTCACACATTGTCTAAGTGGCCATAGCCACTGTCTAAGTAGCAGTTACTTGACATCATACTCAAATACTAGTCGAATTGCTGACATTGTCGCTGGCTTGAGTGCATTGCCAAGGCCATTAGCATCATTAGCAACAACAACAACTATAATGGGTGGCACCGGAGTGCCAACCAACATCGAGATAACATTGACTTTGCAGCAATAATGCCACTTTTGCCTGGCGCCCGAGGTCAAGGATCAGCGGTGTTTCATTCAACTTTTGTAAAGAGGCGTAAATCGTGAGGCTTGCTTTTAACGTATCCACAATATTATTACAAGGGTTTTGAATTATTCAACAAAGCACCAGGGAAATCTGCGGTTCTGTCTGTCTGTCTGTCTGTCTGTCTGTCTCCTTGACAGCCAGTCATATACTTGTAGTTAGTCAGCCAGCCTGCTTCCTCATCTATAGTATGTATCTCGACAGCTGCTATGTTGCGCCAAAAGATTTTTACATGCGAAACACAATAAGGCAGGTTATTAAATTCAAATTGGGTTTTATAAGCGATTAGGTGCTCATGGTGTTATGGGAGAAATCATGTGCCACTTGGCACAAAGTCTGTTTGTGGGGAAGCTCAATAAACAGCATTCAAATTCTCAATCCGAATGTACGTGTGGCTGTGCGTTCGTGTCTGCATTTATTTGTGCATGAAGAAGCACTTAAACACACGTGCTCTGTACTTGACTAGCTGATGTCGGATTTAAGCACAACTGTCGCTCACAAAAACAAGCGACTGAGCAGCTCAAATAAAAGGACAATCCAGACAACATTGCAATTGACAATTGATATAAGTCGGTTACGCTTTGTGTCGATCTCCTCGCAAGCTGCCTGAAGGCGAGTGGGTTCCTTAAGATGATGCCTGTGTTTATGGCAGTTGCCTAAGCCATTGCTATTGCTAAATCGCCATTACTCTGTTGCTCTAAATGTATATTCAAAGGCTGTGACTGTTTCTGCAGCAACGAGTTCAACTTTTCCAGTTTTAAGGGCCAACAAAATTATATAAAATATGCAAATAATAATATAAAGTTTATTCAATTCTCTGCTGATGGCTTAACTTTTGTTCTTATTTACACATTTAATTAAAGGTTCTACAGACATATATTGATACAATGATGCATTACGAGTATATTATTCAATTCAAATTATATTTCAAGGTCTCTGTAAATAATTCTGCGAAATATTAAATCAAGCAAGCCTTCGAGTTGGATTTCTGTACCATTAATTATCTATACAAATGAATCTTTACCATTAGCGAATGCTAGTACCAGGCACCTATAGCAACAAGATGGCATCTTAATACAGGTAGCAGGGAAATAGAGAGAAGACAGTCATCTGCAGGAGTCACATCTTGTTTAGCAGCAGCAACAGTGATGTCAGCCGTGTCAACTGACTCTCCTTCGCAACTGTTCAATTCATTTTATTCTTGATCAATTTGCATCTAGTACTACAAACCATCTCACATAGATACATAGTACATGTACACACACAGGACTTTACGCCTCTACGTAATCAGCAATCACATAAAAGCACATGAAATGAGTCAGAGCCGTTTAGGACTATGTAATGAGTGGCAGTATATATGTAAGCTGGCACAATCAGTACAACAACCATGCACAGACTTATATCGTTGGCAAATAACAGACATGGATTGCTTGATACAAAAATGGCAGCAGCCGTGGCAGTTCTGTTTGGTGCCGATATAACAACCGCAATAACCGCAAAATTATTACTAACTGGAAACGATAGTATGTTAGTAAACGGCCCTAGATTGCAATTGCTAACCAAATGCAAATCCTACGCATTCACGGAACTCGTTGAACCGGCAAACATACTAAATAACAATAGCAATTGTTGTTGCTCGTTTCTCATTGTCTGTTGCAGAGACAAGGAGAATTATAGTAGACAGCTCGATGTCAGTAAAATAGAAGGTAAAGTCGGCTTACTTTACTCGAATTGGGTAAGTAAGTAGAATTTTGAAACCTAATCCCCACAGTGCAAAATGTAACTCATTACTAAACACCATTTTGTATATTCAGGAGTGGCTTTTCTGCATACACACGGCCCAACTCTCATAAATCACTGCTATTGTACACATTTGTATAGACAAATATTGAATTTCCTGTCATGCTCATCATATTATTATAATAGG